TCTCCAACCATTAAATGATTGGACATGACTTTGTGGTTTGTTGTAGGGGAAAAATATTTGTTCAGTATCACTATCTGCTTCTTATGGATATGCTGCACTCTGTAATTAGGAATGATGGTCTTTGATGTAGCATTGTTGTGTTGTAAGTGACCATGTTGACATGAAGCCATCTTGGCTTTAATGCTGTCTCCTTCACTCACTGTGGTGGTCAATGATTTCATGGCAACTCTGCCAGGTATTTTTGCTTCATTGAGCAGTTATGTTGTTATGGGAACTGGTATTCTGTAAATGATCTGAAGAGAGGCCTGATTCACTTCTTGGGAAGAAAGTTTGAAAGTATAGGATAACCAGGTTTTAATTAGCTCTATATTTATTTGTGTGATGACTAATCCTTAGGGCCCATTAACTCCTTTGCAAATCCCAGCAGTTGTTGTCAGTTGTTGTCCCTCATTAGAGAATGTGTGACCAGTGGGATATGCACAACTGAAGCTGAGCTTGTTCCTGCCTGTGTTTAGGTGACACCCCCCCACCCACCCCCCCAACCTTGCCAGACTGGGAGAACATTTGTGTGCTCCATCTTCAGGGCTCATGAGCTCCAAAACCCTTGCCCTGGCTGTGTGCTGGTCAATGCTGCATGTGGCTGTGGCAGGAAGGATGCGTCCTTTTGCCTTCAAGACCAAGATTTATGGGGGACTGGCAATGCAAGGCATTATCAATCTGATAAAAGAGCCTCTTGCTTCTGTTCAATCATTTAAACATTTCAGAGAGGCTGTGTGTGTAAGAGTTTCCTTTCCATCTACTGCTATGTTTTTTTGCCTTCAAATAAGGGAATGGCCAGCCTTGAGTGGTTTTTGGTTTGAGGTATTTTGTCCAGACAAAATCTACACTTTCAACTGGTGCAAAGGAATCCCTTTATTTACTGACCCCAAGCACCTGGAAAAAAATCACAGAGCCTGAACTGTCACACAATGGAATCATAGAATGGTTTGGGTTGGAAAGATCATCTAGTTCCAATCAAAGATCATCCAGTTCCAACCCCCCTGCCATGGGCAGGGATGCCTCACCCTAGACCATGTTGCCCAGTGAGACGCTTGACAATCCTGCCCTGTTGGAGGCACCCTGATATGTGCAGCACAAAAGCTTTCTGAGAGAGCTTTTGCAGCAGCTGTTACCTATGGGAGGAGCAGTGTTTCATCCCCAGAGCTGTTTCTTCAGCATGTTTCAAGTGCATGAACTGCAATAAACATGTAGGTGGAAGTCCAGTGAAGTAATTCAGTTGCTCTTGGTTAGCTGAAGCTCTTTCTGCATGGCTGAGGGACCCTGTATTAACAAGAGTTAGTGCTATTCCCCAGTATCCTTCTCCTTTTTATGCTTTCAAGCTGTGGTTTCTTTACTTCTGTTTCTTTTAAACAGTTTAGATACTAAAAAAGCATTGTTACCTTATACACATTAATCCTAAGCCTGAACTTAAAGGCCTGATCTTTTTGGCATCCTGCAGCTGCAGCTGCAGGCAGGGGCAGACAGGGACAGATGTCTATCAGTGTGTGTTCTGATAACAGGATCATACTTGGAAATGTTCCTGTTTTTCACCTTGCTCATATCAGTTCAAGCTGGCAAAGACAGGTATTGCTTCTTAATAGTGAACAGATACGGACTTGCTTCATAACATTTACTAAACACTAGCTCACGAAAACCAGATGAAATGGGTGTTCAGAAAGAAACCAACACTAAAAGAGGAATGAAAGAAGTAACAAAACTTCTTAATATTTAAGTTGGAGAAGTCCAAGTGGCTTTTATTGAAAAGGCCCATTCCTCCTGAAATACCTTGTGGAATGTGAAGCATCTGTGAATACCACAGGACAGGGCCACACAGGGACATCAGCCTGAGCCCCAGGAAAAGTGGCTCTGCCTGGTGGTTCAGAGCAGGAGCCTGTCCTCCTTTTGGCTCTGGAGGGCACCTGGAAATCTGTCTTTCTTCTGCTGCCCTGGGCCATGGGGAACACTGCAAGCATTAGGAAGAGAGCTTCCAGATGAGGAACTGTTTCCCTGAGTAGCGGGGTTTAATGTGGGAGTTGTGATCAGCCTTGCTATAAAAATACTCAGGGCTTAATCTCTCCAGAACGATGAAAATCCTGCATCTTCTTCTTGAAGTTTCTGGTTTCTAAATCCCCTTCAGTTTGTCAGCACCTTTCTGCTTCACAGAATGGAGAGCTGCCAGACTGGTGCCTCATCTCTCTGGGGTCTGCTGCCCACGTAGCAGGGAGTACATTCACATTCAAACCAGCACACTTGGTGATGCGAGAGTGCCCATCGGCTTCAGCTGGCAGTAAAAGAGATTTGTTTTGTGGGGTTTTGTTATAAATGTGGTTGCATATTGCTGTATGAGGACAATTCACAATGAAATGAAACTTGTAATGATTCCTTTCCATTTTAAGCTCATATTTATGTATTAGAATTTTCAAGAGAAAAAGAATTGCCAAATAATAGCTAAGACAGACTGCTGAATCATGGGTATTGGTTTCTGTTGTTTAATTACCTACAGGCTGCACTAACCTTCTGGAAAGACAATTGCAGAACTTCCTATACTGTGCTTCAGCTCTCCTTCTTCTGGCAAATGCCTTTCTTTATGATAAAAAGTAAATTATTTTCCATCATTTATAGTGCTCAAAAAGATTAATGCATCTTTTCTCCCTGGTTGGGGACTTGTATCACTAACAGAAGCATGACTTTGAGAGCTTTTTTGTCTGCTTTACTGCTAGCAGAAGAACTCTGTATGGCACTATGCAAAGATCCCTTAATATTATACATGTGATGTCATCTGCTTCTGGAAAGGCAGCACAACCACACTTTCCTAACCCTGCACACCATTTCTTCCTGTAGTGTCTGCTTTCCAAGGAGCCCAGAGATCCTTGTAGGAACTATAATGAGGTGCATCTTGGGGTAACACTGTCCTGTGATCACTGTTCCCCTGTCACAGAGGGATGAAGACTAGAGAAGTTGGCAGTAACTGGCCAGGAGTTCCCAATGCTAGGTCACATATGAGTCTGATGCTGAAGTTGCAACCTACAGTCTTCTAGCCCTTACATCTCAATTTATCTTGAAGAGCCAAGTCATGAGAGGAAAACAAGAGATCCTGTTAATGTCTTCCTCTAATGACCACACTTCTTTGGTTTTTGAGACAGACTCCTGAGGACCAAGGAAGGAGATGCTATAACACAGCTGAAGTCACAGATGAGTATTGGCAATGGTATTGAAAGGGCTGAATTAAACATGAGCAAGAGAGAAGGCTGCAGCTCCAAAGAGCTTGAGATCAAAGCATGACACATGGAAAGCATGAAAGCGATTAGTCTTAGATATCAGAAAGGAGAAGGGGAGAGAATGAATCCATATTATAATAATTTTACTGGTCAGTTTATAAATTGTGAGAGAAATTGTGCTTGTAATTTAAAAAAGACAGTGTTTCTTTATTCCTACCAGAGGACCTAATTCACATGAGCCGTAAATGTGTTGGGACAGAAAAATCAAAGTGTCTCAGTGCTGCGAGGCGCTCTCATCAGATCATAGTGCCTTTTGAAGCTGTAGCTCAGTGATTGATTAGAGGAGATCTAATTAACTAACTACATTATAGGAAACAAACAACCATGGAGGAAGTTGTGATACTCTGGGTATCACATTCATCGCAATCTTTGCTCTGCTGCATGGGTGTGGGTGTTCTATGGAAAAGCCAAACCTTCATTCATTATGTGACCTGAAAATAAACCTTAACAGTTTCCTTTCTCTTTTTGTTTTGCCTTTCCCATACAATTTCTCTGCATACTTCTAGACATTTCAGGAAGTGCATAGACCATATTCATCACTAACATATTCAGCATTAACTGTTTAAATCTAATATTCACCCACACACGTTCTATATGGGGGTGAAATATGGATATGAACATTACCTTAATAAAGTATCTTCTATTCTTGTTTCTCATTTTAAATTTTGCTTTATAGATTCTGTGCTGCAGAGACTAGGCAAGCTCAGTCCCATTGGGAATGACGTCTGTGGACGCTTAGTGCAGCCTTGGTCTGAGTCCACAGTCAGTGTCACCCATGGAGCGTGTGAAAGCAGTGTGACCTGAAACATGACAAAGCAGAGGTGACAAAAAATAAAGCCAAATGTTATTCATTGGGATTGATGAACACTGATGGGCTGTCGTAAAAGGATATAGAGATCAAGAGCATATTTTGCTCTCTTCGATGGAGAGACTATGATAAAACCCTACAGCAGTTCAGGCTCTCCAGCAGAGCTTGCTTTGGCTGATTACCCTTTCATACCTGTTGTGCTTTGGACTGTGATTCTCTTCTCTCTTGGAGATCAGGTTGTTTTATAAAGCTTCTAGACCTTTGCCTGACAAGATCTTTTGAACTACATGGAATCAACCTTGTTGGGCAGGAAGCCTTCTTGCCTGCATTCTCCCAGGGCTGCAGGCTAGCTTTCATCAGCTCCCCACATACTTGGGGATCCAGTTTCTTTCAGAAACACTTTACTATGAAAAGAACATCTTAGTTTAAATGAATATAAATTTTGCCTGTTTTAATCATCCCTTTTTAGGTTAGTGTCAGATACAGCTTTATGGCAAGAACTTAATACATGTTTGTGTTTTCCCTCACTGTTTTGATTCAAAGACATTGCCTTCAGAGATGAATACTGCTTCAGCAAATGTATGTTTAAATGAAGAAATTTCAGCAAAAGCCAAATGAGAGAGAAGTAACTACCTTTTAAAGTGTCCTCCTGAAAGAGGCTATATGGCTTCCCTGTGCCACATAGTCTGGCCCAGAGCTAGCAATTCTAGCTATTCCCTGGGTTGGTTTTGTGCTATTTGGTGTAGTGACATGTACGATATCCACTGGGTCAGTTTTACTCCATTTTTTAACCCCCAAAGAGTAACCTATATATAAAAAAAAAGTTAAATATTCATGGGTTTGCCCTTCAAGCATTTTTGTTTGTTCGTTGTTTCAGAAGTTACTCTGTTGGAAAAAGAAGATGCTTCCACATAGAACGACACATCAACAAAGCTCATGAAATACTGTCTTATTCTTTGGAGGACACCAACATCCTTCTCTTGTACAGAAGCCTCCCGAGGACCTTGCTGTAGGCATGAATGGTAAGAGCAGGCTACTGTGATTTTTATTGCATCTGTACATGTGCCACCCTTGGTTCCTTCCCTTTTTCTCCTGGTGACTTACTACATCCACAAGGTGTAGCATAAGTAACCTGAAGTGCTGTAGCCATCAGGAATTGGGAAATGGATCAGCAGCACCTTTGGTGGTTAGGCTGAGAGTCTGCCCCAGCTGATGGGGGAAAAGGCTGGTGGGTGAAGGAGGCTATTTTTTTTATGGGAACCATTTCCTCAGCTGTTGCAGAATTAGTTCTTACCATTGGAAAGAGAATCTGTGTCATGGTTTAAGCCCAGACGGTAACTCAGAACCATGCAGCTGCTTGCTCACTCCTCCTCTTTTTCCCCCGCACTCCCGGAGGGATGGGGAGGAGAATCAAAAGTGTAAATCCCACGGGTTGAGATAAGAGCAGTCTGGTAACTAAGGTATAACACAAAACCACTACTTCTAGCACCAATAATGATAATGATAAGGGGAATAACAAGGGCAGAGACTATAAAACCAAAAGGGGAAAAGGAAAAGAAAACAATAAGCACAAGTGATGCACAATGCAGTCACTCACCACCCACTGAGTGATACCCAGCCCGACCTGAGCAGCGATCTGGGCCTTCTGGGTACCTCCCCTCAGTTTCTCTCCTGGCCATGACGTGCTGTGGTATGGAATACCCCTTTGGCTAGTTTGGGTCAGGTGTCTCTGCTTCCTCCCGGCTTCCCGTGCCCCTCCTCACTGGCAGAGCATGAGACTGAAAAGTCCTTCATCAGAGTAAACATTACTGAGCACCAACTAAAAACATCGGTGTTATCAGTGTTGTTCCCAGGCTGAAAGTCAAAAACACAAGGACTGCACCAGCTACTAAGAAGGAGAAAAGTGACTGCTACTGCTGAACCCAGGACAATCTGTAATAAAGGAATCTATGTATTTGGAAAAGTGCCTTGCTTTGAGCTTCAAATAATGCTTTGTTTAAAAAGCTGGGGTTTTATTTATATTTATAGGAAATGAAACCAGGGATTCCTCTGTGCTAGCATGTGCCCTGGAAGTGCTCTTTCAGCCTTTTGTGGCTAGTATTTTAGAATGCTTCTCTTTAACTTTGTCTGGCTTTCTGTTGCTATTAATTGTATCTATTAGTCATAGACTAATAAAACTCTTCTTGTATCTCAGTTCTTTGGACAAGAAGAGTCATTTGAAATAGTTGGAGAATGCTGGCTAGGCAAGTTATTGTCTTTATAAAAACAGAACCATTATGTTCCTCTTTATTTACTATAATTGTAAATGGAAATGCATCTATTGTTTGTGTTTCTCTGAAATTACATATCAGACTTTCAGACACCTGAAGACTCATTATCATCTCCATCAGCTTTGTGTTGCTTTGTCTATGACAGAAAATGTCCTTCATTGGCCTTTCAAAGAAACAGTGTCTCATAAATTGGGAACCCATTTCGGATTCATTTCATTCAGCAGATCATTAGAATACATATGGCACTTGCAGGGAAAATTAAACCACGTGGAAACAGTGAAGCCTGGCAGTTTTGCCTCATCAACAGTAATAGTCCAGCATCTAGGGGAAAAAAATGATATTTTTAAATTCTGAATTCTATCAACATTTACCCAAACTGGTTTTTGTATTTTTAGCCCATTACAAAAATACCAATAGTTAGGATTCTTTTTTGGGGGCAGAAAGGGGCGAAAAGACAAACAGCTGCAGGGACTTGTGGCGGCTTCGGATTCTTTATTTTGTTTGACCTGATTTAACAAGCTTCCTCTGTTGAAATATCATAGTCTATGTTGGGAATTCTGTCAGGAAGCACAATATGTGCAGTGTGGGTGAGGAAGCTTGCATCAACTGTCAATGAAGATCAATTATAGGAATTATTGAATTACACATTAGATAAGAAGCAGATGACTCCTTTTTGCATGCAAGTGTGGTATTAACTATTTTTGCCTGAATTAAAATACAGCCATATAAGCACTGAAAATCTGTCCCTGAGCCTCACAACCTGCCCAGGCTCATTGATTATTTTATGCTTTACGATTCAAGTCCTGCAGTCTTGTGGCTTTGGTGTGAAATACTGTACAGAGAAAGCATCAATCTCCTAACAACCTACAATTTATATGCAGCTTGGGCAGAAATAGCCCCTTCCAAAAGACTTGTCAGGGATGAAAAGGAAGATGCTATTTAGCAGTTGCCATATTCTGATGTGTTGGTACTCCCGATTCATGCTGTGGGAGTTGTGTGTCCTTCTGCTTGTACCACAGCTGGGTGGTTGATGACAGGGTGCTGAGACACGCTGTTCCTGCACCTTCATCCTTTATAAATACCTTGTATTGGCCTGTTTATTGGATCTTTTTGAATGTCCAGATGGCATTTTTGCCCTAAGAGGCTATGTATAAGTGGGAAGACTGGCTCTAGAATAGCCATCCTTTAGCAGGCTCTACACAGCTGCTGAACAGCACTGCCAGCAATGCCTGTCTGTGCCTCTGGTGCAGTTTAGTACTGAAGAATCCCAGCTTGGCAAAACAGAAAGCGAGTAGGATTTAAAGAACTCTTTTCAAGAGGAAAATAGCTGTTCTTAGGCACAGGAACTAGATGATATATCATCTTCTGATGCTTTCTGAGGTACTGAAAAGCATCAGAATGAAACCCAGGAGAATATAGAGAGAAGTGCAACAAACTGTGCAGCGCCTGTGCAAATACTCTTTTATTCCAGCATCCTGTATTCTGAAATGTAAAAATCTTTATTTCCTAATATCTGTTCATGATGGATTGAGTTGATGCAGAACCCAGGCTCCTCTGCTGTTTTTACTGCTGTTTTCTGGAGGGTTTTAGGTGGTAGCTGGTGTTCTGCTTTAGAAAGGGTGTTAACAAATAACTACTGAGCGTAGAGTGTTGTGGGTTTGTTTTTTGTCATTTTGAGGTTGGCTATTAGGCTTTTCCTGGTAATTGCTTGGTATGAAAAGCTGACTACTTTCTGCTTCATGTTTAAAAGGCTTAAGAATCGTAATACCCCAACAGGGCTGCACCTCTACCTTTATTTCCAAGAAAGTAATTGCTATGAGCTGTTTTCATCCACTGGCACAATTAAATGAATGCTGCATCTGATCCATTTCAGAATTTCAGAGAATCAATGCACAAGACGCATTGCTCTGAAGAAAACTGGATAGCAGAGTGCTGGGAAGAGCAGAAAGGAGAAAATATTCTACTTCAGTACTTATGTAATTCATTCAATTATAGAGGAATTTGAAACAGCAGAATAACATCTTTTATTAAGAACCAATTTCAAACTTGAAGCCCATCTGCAGTACTTTAAAAACACAGAGAAAAAAAAGGAAAAAGAAAGGTAGCCTTAACCCTTTTTTTTTTTTTTGCAGGAAATGTTTATTCTCTTTTGCATGGAGTTTCCATTCCTCTTTCAAGACTTGTATTTTAGTATCCAGCCCGTGGCTAAAAATAGCTAAATGCAATTCACTGGCAGACCATGAACATTGCATCACTGCACCAACCTCCCACCATGCTTTTGTGTGTGTGTGTTTGTTTGAGGAAGTACACCCTGGGTTTGTAGCCTTCTCTTTCCAGGTGGCAAGGGAAATTTAAAAGTGTAAAGAAACAACATGAGCCAGGCCAGTCCCCATCAGGAATGGTGAACAGTGCTCCAAAAAGTGTGATTTGACCATGCAGGGACCTCCAGAGCAGCCAGAAATTGTCATTCAGTTCCCATATGAACATGAAGTTACTTCACTGTTTGTCAGTGTTACCTCTTAATCACTTATTCATCACAATTCTTACCATGGCAAAGCTGTTTAAAAATCAGAATCCCACAATAGTCACTGTAAAATATTTCTTGGCCTCCAAGCAAAGAGTATAGAACTAATTCTAGAAGAATTAAATAAAGTAACATGTAGGCTGTCATTGCTGAGCCCTTCAAGACAGGAATGAACACACCCACTCAGAGCAAGAACATCTTAAATCTGTAAAGTACCAAAATCGTGATTCCAAATTAGAAAATAGACAGGCAATCACATCTAAATTTCTTTCAGTCTTACCTGTAAGAGTCCTTCTACATCAAGGCTGTCATTGCCTCATCTGATGCCTTTATTTATACTCTGAACAAAGTGCTGCTATTGTTCTTTTCTACCCTATTCATTCTTGCCACCATGACTCCAAGGCTGCAGTGCACAGATTACTGTTTACTGGAATTATTAGAATAAATCTTCAAAAGGCAACAGAATTTCTTTCAAATTGTTACATGAGGAAGCCAAGTCTACCTCTGTATCTTAATCTATTTTAATACTTTTGATGCTTCAGCCTGACAGTATTTGTCTTACTAAACTGGGTACAAGAGTGTGTGGTTTTATTTTGCTTGTAGATAACAAATCTTGGATCTCTGCAGTATGTTGTAGCTACATCTGTCAGCCAACAGGAGGCTGCAGGAAAGCACCTTCTATTTCCCAATGACTTCTACAGCAGCTTACAGGGGCAATTGCCTCAGTGTGTGGATTTGGTATGAGCAGGCTCTTCCCAGCTGAACTGGAGTTTGCAACTGGTGTTGAACTGACCTGTTCAAAAAACCCCAACACACTAAACCCCAAACCAAACGAACAAACATTCCTGTTTCAAAAAGGGGGATGTTTTCCACTCCAGTGGAAAAGTGATTTAGTGATGCTTCCCTCCCCACGTGGCTGCCTGCCATTTCTCATCTCACCTTACTTATTCCAGAAAACTCCCTATCAAAACCAGACCTGTTCTCCCCAAAATCACAACAGTATTAGTGACATACAAGTATCTTTCTTTCAACACCATCTAGCTAACTCTTAAATCAGATTCTTACACCTTTCTGGAAGTCAGCCAAAGAGCTTTATGGGTAGAAATGGCTCTGCCACTCATCTGCACAGGAGATGTGTCTGGCACATCCCAGTTTCTGGCTGATATCAGAGACAGAGATCAACAAAGAGCCTACTACTTATACTGAAACAGAATGAATCTTGATCTCGCATTCCCTTGATGATGGTCAGACTTTCAGTTTCCAAATATAGCACACGGACTGGATTGAGTCAGAGATTCTTTCACACAAATCAGGATACACAATGCTCTTCAGCCCACAGGAGGCTGGGGAATGCCAGGTTTCTAAATGGAATTCCAACACATGGCAATGAAGCACTTATGAGCATCCCACAAGCAAGCAAATCATTGTTGTAGTAAACTAAAGGGTGTCTTTCCTGTGGATTTGTTGATTTAAAGCAAGGAAGAAAGTCCTCCTGTGAGCATCCAGAATTCGTTCACCCTAGAACCGAAATAAGATTAAATTCTAGTAATATGTTTGAATTGTTCTCTCAAAAGAATTAGGTATCTTCACTGTAAAGGTATCTGAGTCCGTATTTCTTTTGAAATCTTGGTAAACTATACTTTGATAAGGCCATCACTTACATGATTACCATATCTAACCTCCAGAATAATTGAGTATTTTGTTCCATGCAATTTCCAGATGCTAAACTACCCCTGTGCCAGTCTAGGCTTTATCTTCTAACACAGAGTTCGTCACTGCCTGCCTTTCCATGGCAATGAAAACATTCAAGTAGTTCTTTAGCTACATTTAAAACAAAACATTTATTACAGTTGCTCAGCTACTTTGTCAGTTTTGCTTTAATTAAGCCCCTGTCACTTGTTGCTCTGCAATGCGTAATTCCCATTAATAATTCCATGACAAATCCAGTTTTCAGCTGCTGCAGGAGACGTTAATGTGAACACATCAATATTGATGTGTCTTGACAGATCGTGAGGTTTAATAAATTGCTTTCTCTAAAACAATTTTTGTGGAATCAGGGGTGTCCCTGCAATAGCACAAAGGAAGCCTGAAGCTGAGATATGTAAAAGAACAATTGCTTTTCACAGCATCTGAAAGTTAATCAATGATTTCTCCAGCAAGTCATGAGGTATTTGTTTTAGGATAAATGTTATGACCCAATTCAGTTCCCATTTCATTTTGGTCACTTTAGAAATTTAGTGCAATTTTGGCTTATGAAGAAATTTGGCACCTGGGTGTATGTTAGGAGAGTTTGGTAGCAAAACCTGGGTAGGCACTGACCAGCGTGTGCTGGAATGAGGAATCCTCAGAACTGGGATGAGGTCTGACAAGCATCACGTCTGTGTTTTTTAAATGAGAGATGATGGCCACATATCTACAATGGAGGCTACCATGTGGATTTAAGCCACTATTTTAATGGATTTTACCTCTGTAAATATAAAGCAATGTATAAAAAACCCAGTGAACATTAGCACTTATATAATACTGTTATTAGGTTGCTAACACAAATGAAAAAGGCCTTTAATATTTCAATCCAAATAACCTTAAAGAACATTATCAGAGGTAGCTCTGTACCTAACTTCTAGTGGAAGTCAATGGAAGAAACACCTAACAGCCATTCAGGTCTTTTAAAGTTTCATTTCCTTTGTGCTTATTCGAGGAGAATCATTGCAGAGTGGTCTTCTTCCAGGAATTCTGAGGAGGAAATGAAAAATACTGCTCAAGGGAAGACAACATCATTCTTTTCCTAGCAATTGTTTCTCTTTGCTTTCACACCGTTCTCCCTCATCCAGAACTGTTATTCCTGAAGACGTATTGCGCAAATGTTTCTACCTCCTGTAGAGTGCATGGCTATTATATCTAAATTGGGTATTTTGGGATAATTTGGGAAAGTAGGAAAAGTGTGCCTAGGATCTAAGGATTATTTAGGTCCCGTTAAGTGATGGTGAGAGCTACTGATGGCAAGAGTTTATGGTAGCATTCAAGTCAGCCAAGTTCAATCCTGAATTTTGATACCGAGAGTGGTAACCAGCTATAAACAGAGTTAGGGCTAGGGAGAAGAACCATAGAATCACAGAATGGTTTGAGCTGGAGAGACCTTGAAGATCATCCAGTGCAGGAGCTTGGTTTATTACAGGAGTTCTTAAATACTGGTGAGTTAGAGACAGGGATATAGCTGATAAGGGGTCATTAATCTTTTGTTTTCATGGGCATATAGATCAGTATGGTAAAGGCCATCTGTAACATTCAACAAAAGAATTACTGAAACCAAGAATTTATTTCTGGGGTCCACATCCTATGGAAGCCTAGGTTGGTAACTGCTACCAGTGTACATGAATAATCAGCATTAACATTTGGAAACAATGGAGCTGAAGAGATTTCCATGTAGGAAAGTTTCGGTCATGCTTAGCTCTTAGATTTGTGATAGCACAAGCCCTTTTAATCGCCTTCTAGCCATATGTAAATCTTGGGAAGTGAGCATCCTGGGAGCAGTCACGAGTGTCTTGCTGCTCCAAAGATGAAAATAGTTAAGAGTGATGCTGCTGTAAATACAGGAGTTTACAGCCAGAAGGTGTTAAGGGGGATCTAGCATCTTTCTGCCCATTAAAATATGGCAGTGTTATTTTGGATGAGAATCCAAGTGCTGGGTTCTTGGCAAAAAGCTGGCATACCTGCATACCTGATCTTTTCCTTTTCCATTAACTTGGTGTCTATAGATCCTGAGCAAGGATGGTACAGTGAGAAGCAATCTTTGGAACACAGTCACCTTGGTGCACTATCCAATAGCATGAGGGAGGGGAATTTTGGCCGAGGAAATAAATGGAAGCCACTACTCTTACAATAAAATTGCCACACAGATGGTAACCAATTCAGTGCATGGTAAGATGTCAAAACATGTTGAGCACCACACTGGAACCTGTTTAGGGAAAATCTTAGAGCTATTTATTCTGTTATGCTTTTGAATGACCTATTAATTTAATAGCAGGGAATAAGTCCTTGTTTTGTACAATTGCAGGTCTGCTGCTGATCCCTCAGGTTGAGTAAGTTTATCCACAGGAGTAGCTGTCATGATCAAGGAGTGATATGTAACCTGACCATTACAAAGACATAGTGTGCTATGAATGCTCTTGAAAAGGAAGATCGTATGTATGAAGGAATCATTGCTTTCATGCTGAAGACTTCAGAGCAGCAATTGAAAGGAAAACAAAATACATGTTCTTCTGAAAAGGTATTTATTTATTTATTACCTGAGACATCACAAATGGGTACTGAGGTTTTAGCATGGAAACTGCACAGCTTTTCCCTTTCTCCTCTGCTCCCTCCATCTGCCACTGCAGCTTCTTAACGTTTGACAACAATTCTGGGGCAGCTGTATTTTTATGCTACTATTTAATTTTGCTGGTAGACATTCTTGTTTATGTGAGTCTCTTACACAAAGGAGAAAAAACAGTAAGTGGTGTTGTAGCACATGGCTGCTTCTAGCAAAGCACATATTTAAGGGCCTTCTTAAACAGAACTAATCTAACGTGAGCCCTCACCTAAATTATGAGGAAAATTGTACCTGTCTGTCATGGTTTAAACAAAGCCAGCCATAAATCACTCAGTTGCTCTCTCACTTCCCCCCTTTTTGCCCTCCCCCTGCTCCCGGAGGGATGGGAAGGAGAATCAAAAGAATGCAACTCCCATGGGTTGAGATAAGAACAGTTTAGTAACTAAGGTATAACACAAATCACTACTGCTACCACCAATAATAATAATGATAAAGGAAATTACAAGGCGAGAGAATACAACACCTCACCACCCCCTGACCGATAACTCGCCCCCCCAGCCCAACCAAGCACTGACCGATACCTCCTTCAACCCTGCAGTCCTAGGCCTTCTGGCTAACTCCCAGTTACATCCTGGGCATGACGTGCTGTGGTATGGAATACCTCTTTGGCTAGTTTGGGTTAGCTGTCCTGTCTCTGCTTCCTCCCAGCTTCCCCTCCTCCCTGGCAGAGCATGAGGCTCAGAAAGTCCTTGGCCAGACCAAACATTTGAGCAGTAACTAAAAACATCGGTGCTATCAGCACCGTTCCGAGGCTGAAAGTCAAAACCACAGCACTGCACCAGCTACCAAGAAGGAGAAAAAAACGACTGCTACTGCTGAACCCAGGACACTGTCCCAAACCATGCTTTTAACAGCCAGCTTCCTTGCTTGCAAGCACTCAACAGTATTCAAAGAAATCTTTATATATTAAAAAATAAGTCATAAAACATGAAAATTGTAGCACCTGAACTCACTATCGTTGGACCCACTGAGCAGTTGAGAGGCCAGTTCCCCACCTGAGGCAGACTTTGCAGCCAAGCAGCTCACCTGATCACATCTGGGATACTGGGGGAGCCCAGCACTAGTGGTGATGTTGTCAAAGGGAAAGTGTTACCTTGTTATTTGAACAAGGTAATGGGAACAATATGGGAATGAGCTGTCAGAAAGAGAACCCAGCTCTTCCTCTTCCCCCATTTTCTAAATCTAATGTTCAGATGTGGTAAATTCCCAGGTGGCATTATAAACATTGTGGATACAGAATAGGAGTTTTGGCAATTAAGAAAAAAAGAGGGGCCTAATGACATTTGCATGGGAGAAGGGGAAAGGCAGAGAAGCCTAAAGTGAGACTTGGAACAAGTGGAAGGTATCCCTGCCCTGTGGCAGGGGTGGGGGAATGAGATGATCTTTGAGATTCCTCCAAACCCAAACTGTTCTATTATTATGATGAAGTCTTCCTTGTTTGGGTGGCAGACAATGAGACTTTTCCAAAATCTAGGACAGAATACCCTTAGACATGACAGGGTTCTCAATACAAAGGTAGGATGTGGTATTGTAGTGAAATGCACTAGCCTGAAAACTAACCAGTTTACGAAAAGGAAGCTCTTTCTTGCCCTTCTTTTATAGAGCTGATCTCTCCTGTGCAATGCAGTTGGGGATGAGACATGGGCAATGACAGTGACCTGAGTGAAGTCCAAAAAGCAAACTGGCAGTGCAGTGGACAATAAATTAGATTTAAAAAAGTCTTTCAGGTTTAATAACTTGAAATGAACACAGATATGGAAGTTTGAGACAAGAAATACACCAAAAATCTGTCAGTGTTCCAGGGGTGGACTGGAAGAGGTGGGAGGAAGCACAGATCTGTAAAGTGATTTGTATAAAGCCATAATATAACAAATCCATCAGTGCATTACTTTATCAGCGAGATGCCAAGCCAGTATTAGTGTAATTAAACTGATTGCTAGGTAGCAAAACATCACGGTTTGTGTCACTACACAGCAACCTGATCATTTGTGAGGAATCCCACCCCCTAGCTCCTATTACCAGCTTTACATCCTGCCAGGGTGCTGTGTAACAGTGACCTGTCCCCGGGAACGGCACCTCGCGGTTTGCAGAACTGTGCTGTCTGCAGATAGCATCGCTGTTCGGTGCTGCTGCGCCCCACTGACATCACTGCGCGGATCCGCCGCTCAGCAAGGTCATGCTGCATTCCACGGCACATTCTGATGGGTGGCACGTAGGCACTGTGGAGGGGATGCCGAGCTGGAGCGTTTCTCCGCTGCTCCCCTTGAAAGCCAATTACCCTGCGGATGAATAGCACGGCCGCATGTATCACACACGCACAAAGGGACATAAGGTCAAACATATTGCAGAAAAAAGCTTAAGGCTTCTGAAAACATCTCCATTTCCCCTCTGCCTGCCCTCCGCGGGCTCAGCCCCTGCCAGCTATGACGTGTGGCCTGTGGTTGAACCAGCTCCAGCCAGAGCCATTGAGAATGAGTCATTTCTGTGTTTTAACCTCTGCCAAAGGAGCAAGGATTGATTAACGCACCGCTAACCCGCAGGCCAAGCGGAAAACTCTTTATGGAACCGGCAGCGGCGGCACCACCCGGCAGCCGCCACCTGCCCCGACCGAGCAGGGGCCGCCCCTCGCGGGCTCCCCGGTGCGGAGGGCGGACACCCCAGCCGTGTCCTGCCCCGCTCCCCGCCGCACTCAGGCGGTTACAGCCGTTAACGGCCCGACCCGGCCCGGCCCACCGCCGTCCCGCCCCACCGCCGTCCCCAAGGGCCTCAACCCCGCCTCTAGGAAGCTGCCCCTCCTGACTACTGCGCTTCCGGCCAGGCCGGCCTGGCGATTGGCTGAGGCAGGGCACGTCATCGGAAGTGATGATTGCCGGGACACGCCCCTGGCTCCGTTCAAACCTGGCTGGCGGTAAAGCGGGGAGGAGGTGAGCGGGGAGCGGGGCTGAGGGTAGCGCGGGGCTGAGGCGAGGGGGGAGCGCGGGGCTGAGGGTAGCGCGGGGAGCGATGCTGAGTGGGGAGCGCGGGGCTGAGGGGCAGCGGGGCTGAGGTGAGGGGAGCGCGGGACTGAGGGGCAGCGGGGCTGAGTGGGGTGCGGGACTGAGGGGAGCGGGGCTGAGGGGAGCCCGGGGCTGAGAGGCAGTGGGGCTGAGGGAACCGCCGCTGCCATCTGGGGCTACTCGCTGTCAACGTTCATTTTCCCGACGTTCCCAGCACATGCAGTGACACTGCGGCTGCGTTCAAACTCCCTCCTTCTAATAAATGTTGTTTCTGAGGAAATAAAAGTGTTGTTCGTGTTATAGCCTCTCATCGCCGTGTTTTATCTCAAGTCAGCTGTCCAAGTACCTCTGCCTGAACGTCCCCGTTCTGTTTTCAGGGGATCTTTTACACATGATAACCTGTAAAGATGTTGAAGTTTAAATGCGGTGCCCGAAACCCGGCAGAGGCCGGATCCATGGAGCCCATCACCAGCCGAGTTTCTCGGCTAAATCTGCTCTTCCAGGTAAAGAGTGCCTGGCGTGGGATTAGCTGGGATCAGTGTCTGCGTCCAATGTATTGAAACACAGTTTTGCTTGTATTTATCCTATAAACTGCACGGTTTTCTCTCTCTCCTCTGCTCTCCCCATCTGCCACTTCAGCTTCTTAACATCTGATAACAGTGCGTCATTCCTGGGAGGAAGGGGTAAAAGAAAGGGATAACTAGTTGGAGATCAAAGGGGGCATCTACTTTGCACAAAGTTTGATGGACAGTTTATATACATAGAACCATAGAACAGTTAGGGTTGGAAAGGGCCTTACGATCATCCAGGCGCAGGGACACCTCACACTAAACCATGTCACCCAAGGCTCTGTCCAACCTGGCCTCTAACACCGCCAGGGATCTGTTAATATTATAGCCTGAAGTGCATTTTCCCCCATGATGATGGAATATTGCATTCTGCATCCTGTAATCTGCGGTTTTTCATGGGTGATGTAGCTGAGGGTTTTGCCCTGAGATGGATTTACCTAACCAGCTGCTATTTTATCACTGGAGAATTTGATCAGCAGCTTTTCCTTCTAGAACTAATTTTGATACTGACTGCTTAAACTATTTATGCCATGAGAAAAACCCACATGGTACAATGTCAAGGAAGAAGCCAGGGGGATCAGAGCTATCAGTAGGGTGTAGATAGTTTCTGGGAAGCTGTGATTTGAACTTTAATAATCTTTAAAGGATTGGTTTTCTTACAGATGGAATACCTGTAGCAGCTATTACAGACAGATATAGCGAGTTGTTATATTTACCTCACATTTCTGCATTGTTTGTCTGATTTCTGAAGTAGTGATTTTTAAATAAATAATATATAATCAGCTCTATACATATGTTATTGATTTGAGGCTTTTCATTGTTGTCTGAGACTCCATCTGCTGTTGCTTCCTTTTTTTTTTTCCAGGGGAAGCCACTCTTTGTAACTCAACAGCAGATGTCTCCTCTCTCCCGGGAAGGCATCCTTGATTCCTTATTCGTCCTTTTTGAAGAATGCAGAAACCCTGCTTTAATGAAAATTAAACACATTGGCAACTTTGTCAGGAAGTGTAAGTTTGTTTAGGCTTATGTTCAGGTGCCATTTTAAAAGATAGTTCTTAATTTTTAAATCATGCTTTAGCTGCTTTGAGTCATTAATGATTGTAACGCAGGTCTTGGAGCATCTGACTTTTTGTGGGCAGACTCAATATGTGAAAGGGATCTTGGCAATCTCAGTGAAGCTTTGATCAGGTTCAAAAAGGTCAAATGCAAGTGGCTTTTAAAGTGTGGTGACTCGAATACGTGTCCTTCTTAGTCTGTGCTATATACTAGGGTTGACTATATACTAGGGTTGAGGGGTACTTTCTTTGAAAGTGTTTATTACATACAGCATTGCTCCAAGTACACACAATAGAAGGATGTCAGGAGTTGAGAGCAGGATAGTGACTAGAGTTATCAAGGGAAAAAAGCTTTAGAAAGGAACTTGGTAATTATTGGCTCTTTCAGCTTGTCGTAGCCTTTGGATTCCAAGTGTTATCTGATTTTTGCATGTGTAACTTGTAAATAGTGATTCTGTAAATCTGAAACACTATTGTAAATAGTGCTTTTGCAGCACTCTGAAGCACTATTGTAAATAGTGCTTCAGAGATACAATTCTGGTGTTGTAAATATTCTACTGATAATGTGCTCAGATTCTTTCTGGGGAAAAGTGAAAAATTCATCAATTTTTCTGTTAAGATATACTGGAAAGCTATTTGGTTTCAAGTAGTTTCTCATGCCCTTTATGATAGTTCCATCCAATAGTTTGTAGATATTTTTAGCAGAGAGTAATTTTCGGCTAGTCTGAAGAATTTTTAGAGCAATCTCCTGTGAGCAGTTGGTTATCACAGTGCCGTTTGAAACTAGTCCATGGAAAACTTGAACTGAGTAGCTGAAAGAAATGTCTCCGGTTATTTGTTAGAAAATAGACTAGTGCCTCCCACAGGCAGAGGAGGAAACCCTGCCACTTGACTCGGAGAACTCTGCTGGGTAAAGCCCTCCTATTTAGAGATTAGACTTTGTATTGGTAAAGGAGGGTTGGAAAGAAATTAGAAACAAAAGAGGCTATCAGCCTATAATGTTATGAATGGGGCAGAATTATGGTTGCTATGGGAACTCTCTTAACATTTCCTGGTTCTTTTGTATGAGCCATATTTCAGTCTTAACTATGCATTAGAATCATAGAATCATAGAATAATTAGGGTTGGAAAGGACCTTAAGATCATCTAGTTCCAAACCCCCTGCCGTGGGCAGGGACACCTTATGTTAAATCATATCACCTAAGGCTTCGTCCAACCTGGTCTTGAACACTGCCAGGGATGGAGCATTCACAACCTCCCTGGGCAACCTATTCCAGTGCCTCACCACCCTAACAGGAAAGAATTTCCTCCTTATATCCAATCTAAACTTCCCCTGTTTAAGTTTTAACCCGTTACACCTTGTCCTATCGCTACAGTCTCTAATAAAGAGTCCCTCTCCAGCATCCCTATAGGCCCCCTTCAGATACTGGAAGGCTGCTATGAGGTCTCCACACATCCTTCTCTTCTCCAGGCTGAACAGCCCCAACTTTCTCAGCCTATCTTCATACAGGAGGTGTCTTTTTCTAGTTCTTATACATACTGTTGTGGTTTTGTTTTCTTTTTCTAAGATGCACAGTTTGGAATGATTTCACATTCCTTGAAAGTGGAACTAAAAGTTGTTGGTTTTGGTTTTGTGTTTTTTTTTTAAATTCCCCATTTTTGATGGTGTGTTTGTTACAAAATGCCAGTTGGCCAATGTAAAAATAAGTGTTTTATTTTTCTAGATGCAGAGACAATAGCTGAATTGAGGGAACTGCAACCTGGTGTGAAGGATTTTGAAGTGAAGAGTGTGGTTGGCTGTGGTCACTTTGCAGATGTAAAAGTAGTAAGAGAGAAAGCTACTGGTGATGTGTATGCTATGAAGGTGATGAGCAAGGAGTCCTTGCTGGCGCAAGAGCACGTATGTATATTTTTCTGTTGTGAGGGTAGAACAACAAAGTACACTTTGAACATTCTCTTTTTGTCACTACTATTAGAATTAAGTTAAAAGTGTGTCTTGGGATGGATCATCCTACATTTCAGTGAAGTAATATAACTGTGTAGTTTTGCTGTATTAAAAAGCCATTGCCATAGGCTTGAATCTATTGGATGAGGTGCCATCCAACCCCCAAAATGACCCTTGTCTTAAAGACTTTACTATCTAATTGTGAGATAAGAAAAAATAGATGGAGAAAATACTGATTGGTATTGATCAGCTTGTTGATGGCTTGAATTTTCAGGCAATGCGTTCATTAAGTTTTTTGTTCTAAAGACCGACATAGAATGTCAGGAGTGGGTGTGAAGGCAAACTGTGGTGACTGGATTTTTATGGAGAGCCTCTCACTAGCTTGAGAAATGTGTTACTTGAGAACTTAAAAAAGAGATAATGGAGGTTGTGATCATAGTTTGGTGAGAAATAGAAGTTAATCTTTCACTGACATGAGCTGACAAGTAGGACAGAGATACTCCATGAAAGACCTTGTGAATTTATACAGCAGTATCTGCATCAGTTGTTCCCAATACATGATGGAGTTAGATTGCTCCTGAGATTCCATAGCCTTGTTTGTGGCCTTCAGAAATTAAGATAAACTAAAATCGCTCTTGCTATGGCATAGGCTGACAGGAAGCAAAGTATGATACTACCCTCAATATGAGACTTGCTCAGTCTTGTTGAGTGTGGGTGAGTGAAATAGGGAATGTTGATCTAAATGAATGTGCAGCATCTCTGGTAATAAAATTAATTTCTTGTTCTGGCTGTGCATGTGAATAATTAAATAGCTCCTAGAGGATGATTTCAAGGAAGCCTTGTATTTTAATACTTTACAATGAATTTATTGCTGAGTTAGCTGTGAAATGCTACCCCATAATTGCTCTAGTTTATTCTTGTCTGATTGTTTTGAGATCAGTTTTTTTTTTATTAGGGCCAGGCCAGATGAGGTCAACCAGTTGCATCCCAGACTGGTATGCTTCACCAGTTTGAAAGGGAAGCTGGCCTTTGTTGCAGAACTACTCAGTTGAAAGCAAGCTAGACAACAGAAGTTGGAAGGAGAACAGAAAGCACAGGAGTAAAATTACCTTTTAAAAGTGCACGTTGCAAGGGAAAAGCATTTAATAATTTCAGTGCGATTTTTATTTTATGTGTGCCTTTGGCACAGACTCGAGTCTTTCTGAAACAATTGGATTCTAATGTATTCTAACTCATTTTCATCATGTTCTAACTGTTATAACTTCCTTTTCTCATAGATGTCTTTTTTTGAAGAAGAACGCAGTATATTATCTCAGAGCACCAGCCCATGGATTCCACAGTTACAATATGCATTTCAAGACAAGAAGAATCTCTACTTGGTAATGCCTAGTCTTTGTTTCTTTTCTTCTGTGATAAACACCTCTACTGTTCTGTAAGTTTTCCTGCATTACATGCCACTGTATGATATGTGTCCAATGTAATATGGAGAAGTTGAACAGAATATCTTTTCTGTATATGAACTATATCTTTTCCTTTAAAATTTTATGTAGGTTATGGAGTATCAGCCTGGAGGGGACTTGCTGTCACTCTTAAACCGATATGAGGACCAACTAGATGAGAGTATGGTGCAGTTTTATCTTGCAGAGTTGGTTTTAGCCATTCACAGTGTCCATCAGATGGGTTATGTACACCGGTAGGTAAAGATTGCTTTGCATTGTGCATAATATGTGATCAATATCATTCCATAAAACAGTGTTATGGAATGATGCGTTCTTAGCTGTTTTTTTTTTTTATATATATATTCTGTCCTCTTTCAGGTCAGTGTTTCATATGCTCTATCAGAAGGGAAAATTAGAAAATTAATCATACTCCAACTATAATTGTAGCTAAAGGCATTAACTTTGATGTAAAGTTCAAACTAACATCAAGAAAGGTTTGTTACACATATTTTTGGGAGGCTTAGGAGAAAGAAGTCTTAATATCGCACTATAAAAAATTAAAATCTTTTCCAGAGATTGTTGCACCAATATTTTAGCAGCAAATATTTTTGGGAAATTAGTGTCACTGTTAAAACTTCTGGTGTGTGATTGGTGAGCAGGGCAGTAAAGGATCTTGGAGCAGTTAAATGTCACAGAGTTTTCTAAAGATCATCTCAAGGCTTGCAGGCTGTTACTCTATGTATTTTTACATTTTACTGATGTTTAATAAATTTATTCCATTCTGAAGCTTTGGAAATGTTGTGAAGTATTTATGTTACGAAGTATTTATGCTGCACTTAGAGCATAGGCTGTGACCTTCTAATGCAACGTAGCTGCCTGGATATGAAAGACGTGTAGAGTAAGTTGTGAGGAAATTTGGGATTAAAGCTGCATAATACGTCACTGTAACTCAGTTACAATGTAATCAGGGTGCAAAACCACTTTCTCTTTCCATTGTCTATCAATAATTATCAACTTTCTGTGCAATAAGTGGGAACTTTACTACTTTCATATTTGCTTGGAAACAGAACAACAGTTGGAAATAAGACTCCCACTTGTTAAGGTTTTATGCAACTGAGCACATGGCTGAGTGCAGCTGAATAGGGTTATCCTGTTATCTAGATATGACAGCTGGGAATGGTATGGAAAGGTACTGATTGCTTTCTTCTTGCTTACAGAGATATCAAACCAGAGAATGTTCTTATTGACAGAACAGGACACATTAAACTGGTGGACTTCGGGTCAGCTGCCAAAATGACAGCAAACAAAATGGTAATAATGTGGTTGGAAGCTTTGCTTATGGGTTGGTTAGTCCAGTCAAAAAAGGAAAACTAACATTTTATCTGTTCCTTGATTATACCAGGTTCTTCTGCCTTTCTTGTCCAATATGGAGTCTATTCATAATGATATATTTCCATTCATTAATGCTTTTTCAAACATGAACTCAAGTATCTTTTGGAGCTCTCAGTAGATCTGTATCTGCTTCCTAACATTTTAATACACTTACTTGTGAAGACAGCTCTACTTTCTCATCGTGCTGCACTGCATTACAGAATCATACTTCTAGGGATCCTTACAAGTGTCCAGTGCTGTGTTTAAAGGAGGACATGGATTTATAATTGTTCATGATTGGACTGAACCCTTGTTGTTGTAACTAAGGTGGAACAGTTTTGAAGACTCGGGAGCTCTTGATTGAAATGAGTCACATTTCAACGTTCCGGGCTTTGCTCACCAGAAAGCACTCTATTCAAAGCTGTGAATCCGTTGAGGTTTTTTATAAGTTGCTTGTAAATTTAGGTAACTGCATACAAATTCAAGTGATGATTTGAAATTAAAATCTATCTAAGCGAGAACATGAAGTTCTACACCACATTCCTGTCTTGGTTTACAACTTTTTTTTGGTAGCATTTTCTTAGTATTGCAACTCTTAATGTTTTGTTTTCCCTGTTTTCTTTGCCTTTTCAGTACTTCTTTGCATAGTCTTTTTCTTTTCATTTTTTTTCTTCACATTATCATTTCAGTTATCTTGAGGTTTTTGTGTTAGTCTGCCTGCTTCTTTATTTCATTTTTTTGTATCACTCAATGAGCTGCAAAAATGACTGCAGTTTTGGCTCCTGAATTATTTTTTTCTAAGCACTCCAGAAATTTGAATACTAGTACTTTGCTGATAATGAATACAAGGTAAAAGGTAGACATGCCACAGAATGCAATGAGGGCAGGGAATATTTATATTAAATTTGACTATTTTTGATATTTCAGCTCTGATGTCCCTGTTTATACTAGTTGAAGCAGTAGTGCTAGAGTGTGTATACTGCTTAATACATTAGTTTAGTAATCCTGTGCTTTTTAGAATGCTGTTTTTCTCCTTTAGCTGTTTGTACTTGCTAGTAACAGTTAGCTCTGATAATCTGACTCTTTTTCTATCAAATAGCTTGCTTTCTGTTTGTTTACCAGCAGTTTCGTTAACCTTGCACTTTTTTGCTTAACAGTCTTGCTTAAATTTACTTACTTAAAATTCACTTAGAGACCTGAAAATTGTGTCTCATTTGAAAAAAGCAAACAAAAAAGATTTGGTTTATTATGAAGATTACAATGCACAGACAGTGCTATAAGTTCACTTGGTATATCTTTGCATCTAGGTAAATGCCAAGCTACCTGTTGGCACACCTGACTACATGGCACCAGAAATGCTAACAGGGTTGAATGGGGATGGCAAAGCTTCCTACGGTCTGGAATGCGACTGGTGGTCCCTGGGAGTCATTGCATATGAAATGATTTATGGGAGATCTCCCTTCACTGAAGGGACTTCAGCAAAAACCTTCAATAACATCATGAACTTCCAGGTAGAGAAAACTCTTTCCATGCTCTTGAGTAAAAAGGCTATAGTAAAGACTGTGGTTTTACTTTGTGGCTGTAGTAAAGACTTTACAGTTGAGATAAGAAGCTTACGGATGTCTCTTACTTTGTCAAGTTCATAGAATATTCAGTGTATGCACTTTATATTGTTTTTATATGTCTCTATATTGTATATCAAATGATTTTTGGTAACAGGTGTCATGAATTGCAAAGTTTTAGCTATCCTCTTAGGCAGCTATAATTGCAACATGTGCAAAATAGTTTGGAAAAGGGATCAGAAGGATTAATTGTGTATTCAGAAAGTTTCTAATCTTATGAAGTGTTTCAGGATAGTAAAGAGGCTATGAAGAGCTGCAGAAAGACTTGAGGATATTGACTGTCCGCATGATTAAAACATCATATGCAATTTAGTTTAAGTTAAGTTTAAATGAATGTATATGAATGGAAAAGTATCCCAACTGTACCCAGTGAAGGGCTCAAGAACAGTATCTTGATTTTATAATCTATGCAAATGTTAGTTTAGTTCTTAGTAACAGTCCAAAAGGCAGCACATAGAATGGTAGGAGGTAGTAGGGAAGAAAAAGGAAATAAAAAATCATGTGTAGCTTGAAGGAAGTCAACAAAGAGTGGTTGCCTATGATCTCTTCTAATATGGGAATTAGGGGCATCAAATGAAAGTAGGCAGCAATAACTACGCTACAAACAAAAAAGGAAACTTCATATAGCACATTCTTATGCTGAGGAGCTCTTTGCTGTAAGTTTGCAATTGCTGAATATTTATATGTGTTCAAAAAGTGACTAGAAAAAATCATAAAAGAAGAATCTATTGAGATCTGGCAAGTAGAATCATAGAATCCCAGCCTGGTTCAGATTGGAAAGGATCCTAAAGCTCATCCAGTTCCAGCCCCCTGCCATGGGCAGGGACAACTTTCAGTAGATCAGGTTGCTCCAAGCCCTGTCTAGCCTGCTCCTGAACAGTTCCAGGGGTGAACGCAAAGACATCATCCCTGGTTCAGAAAAGCCTAAGACACTAATCCTTTGAAGTTTGGGAGAATTTTCTGGGAAAGTGTCTTGTTTTCCTTTTCCATTTGTGTATGCCTTGGCCATTTTCAGCATAAGATGGTGACCTGGGACTGCCATTTATCTGATTAGAAATGGTTGTTCCTGTGTTATCTTTGCTGCAATAAATACATATAAAAGCCTAACTGGAAAAAAAATACCCAATACTTTAATTTGTATGCTATAAATATTTATCCAGTCTGTCTGGCATAGAATAATGAAATTTAATTTTACTGTTGTGGGACTGTTTTCCTACTGAGCAGAAACCCTTTTCTTTCTTGTTTTTTGCAGAGATTTCTGAAGTTCCCAGAGGATGTGAAAGTTAGTAGTGGATTTCTTGATCTGATCCAGAGTCTGCTCTGCGGGCAGAAGGAAAGGCTGGGCTATGAGGGACTCTGCTGCCATCCATTTTTTAATAAAATTGACTGGAACAACATCCGTAACTGTAAGTAGAATAACACTGCATTTATAAACAATTCCTGTTGCTTTGGGTAACGTGAACGTTTGTACAATGTGAATATTTAAGTGTGCTTGATCTGAATTCTTATTCATAATGAAACAGGGCTATGTCCTGGAGCAGGTGTTTTTAACAGAACAATTCATTTTGGTTCCTGGATAGGATATGTTATCTCTCAGGTGAAAATTGCAGGGTAAGATGAAGTTTAATGCACATCCATATGAATTTCTGAATGCAATTGCCATATTACTGCAGGCACTAGACTAGAAATTCAAAATGGTCCTTTCCATGTCCTTCCTTGGATTAAAATGCATCAGTATGTTCTTTCAGGCCTTTTCCACCTCAGTTTGCTTAACTTTGGCTTAATCTCATTATTTTTTGTTGAATCTTCAGCTTTCTCTCTTTTGTTGCTTGTGGTTCAACTTCAGTTGAGTTGTTTTTTGCTTTATGTGTTTTGTTGGGTGTTAGCTCCTATAGGTGGTGATATGTCAGTGGTCATAGGGACACTGGAATTTTTTCTCAAGCTTAATTTGGCAAATAGATGACTCATTTTTATTGACAAAAATCCATTCATTCCACTAGGAATAGAATAAAACCACTGAAGCAGATAATTTTCTCTGCAGAAAATTGTTTCTAACACTGTGGAAGCACTGGAATTCAGTATTTGGAAATACTGAGGCACCAGCATCATGGCAAAAGGAAATCTTCCACAGATTGTCAATGATCTATGTATGAGAACCTGAGTTGTGCTGGATAGTATTTGAGATTATTTGGACTGTAAGATTATCTGGGCAGGCAACATGTCTGTATTATATTCTTTAGCCAGTATGCTGTAAGAGCAATGACTTTGCTCCATTTTCATGATAAATTGCTAAGCCAATGCTTCTACTTTTGATGACTATCTCAGCACTTCAGCTGTCAGCTCCACAGAATATTTACTCACTTTTCTCTTGATTCATTAATTTTGAACTTGTGGAGCTGCTCTTCTGTTAAATTTCATTGTTTGTGCCCTTTGAGAGGCATTGAGGCTTGAGTCTTTTCTATCATTTTATCATACATTTCCCAGACTTCAGCTCTTTCTGCCTTCTTTCCCCAGAGCCCTGCCTGAGCCACCAGTTTCCATTTCTGAAACTTTTGCTTGGCATTTGTATCATATTATCTCAGACCTGGGAAAAAAAGAAGTAGCATGTGAGCATGAGCTGTGGTATTTCCTTGGCAATTGTCTGTCCAGTATTCACACAACTGCATAAGTTAATGGGGTGTTTTGCCATTTCATGTGGCAACCGTGATACTGATGGACAAGCTGGCTGGCAGCTCTGATGTCATGACAATGTTGAAAGAAATGATTTGGGATTTAAAAATCCCCTTTCTGTCTAGAGCTGACCAGTGGATTGCATCATTCCCTGTAATATCCAGACCTACTGTGAAGATTCATGCAGTTTTGACCCCTGACTTTGTTGTTATGTGTCATACTTCATAAAACCCCACTGTATCTAGCACAAAACACAGCAGTCTTCTAGCTCTTAGTAGCAGATTCAATGTATCACCTATTGCTTTGCTCTCTGCAGTGGTTCCACATTTGCTGGTTTATTCAGAGCGCTGTCACTGTCATCCTGTTCAAAACCCTTGTTGGGTTTGACCCAGGCTTTCTAAAAGCTAAAGGCGTCTTTCTTATCTTGACCTCTGTTGATAGTGGTGTTTAACTGGAGCAGTGGCCACCTAAGAAGATAAGGAAACTTGTGATTGCTGGCAAAGGTCACAGGGTTTGGATTTACATTAAAGAGTCTCACTCCCTGAAGTTAACCTGGTCAAAGTTTTGAGTATGGCATGGACTTGGGGATCTGAAAGTTCTTTTCTGACCTAAATGATTCTGTGATTGCTAAATAAATTCTGTGTCAGCACAATCAGACTTTCCTCTGGTCTATAAAAGTAATGATGTTATTTCTATTACAGACTGAGAAAGGTAGGGAAAAAATTGGTACCCTTGCCTTGCAGGTATTCAAATTGTCATGCTGGGAGCTCCAGGATAACAGTTCTTAATGCACCGATTTTGGTTAAGAATGTGTCATTAAGAGGCTTTTCAGTGTTACATTTTGTTGTTATGGTAACCTATGAAACACTTGACTTTTCAGTAGCCCCCTTCCCAAAAGATAGCTGCCTCTAAAAAAGCTCCCAACGTCCTTGGTTGAAGTAGCATGTATCTGTAGAGGCAGCTCTTCAATTACAGAAATAGGAACCAACCACTAAACATAAGGTCAAGTTTAACTGAATCTGTGTCAACAGCTAACTCTTCCCCTACCTCGGAGTATTGTACTGAAACTTATTTATAGATTCTTCTCTCTGCATTTGTTGTTTTTTTGCTATTCAATGACTTCTAAAGCTTCTAAAAAAAACAAACCAGACACCACCACCTCCCTCAAAAAAAGAAAAAAGACTTTGGAAAGGTTGTGTTGATTTACTTGACAGAATTTTCTGACAATGGAAAGGAATTTATCTACCTAGAATAAACATATTTATGTCTGTGTTTCAGCTGCATGATCAGCATTTTAACTGGAAAGTTGATAACAGAACTATTTGAGTACTTGCCAAGTATCTAAAGCTGGAGGTAGAGAATGAGGGAATGACGTACTTGAGTTATGAGCAAAAAGGTTGCATTGTATATAATTTGGGTACTTTGTTAATCACCTTTTGTTATTTAAAATCTATAAATTCCATCAGCTGTTTAATTTGGAACAAAAAATCTGCCTGCTGAGAGGTGGTCAGAAGACTTTTATTGTCATCTAAGCAGTATATATGTATAGCAAAAAGAATCTTTCATTTTAAGAACTGTTTTGTAACTGCAGTCCAAGAGGTCTTGAAAATGGAATAGCATATTTGGACTTGCATGAGGAAACTGTATATATGAGAAAAAAAAAGAATGAATGTCTTGTGCAAACAAAAGAACTTGAGAAAGTGTTGAAGACTGATTTTCAGGGTATATGTTCTGCTATTAAACAGGTAGGAACACAAATCTCATTGCTTGTAAGTTCAGGATTCTTCCTTATCCTCAGGAACCCAGAGTTGTCATTCATGATTAAACACTGTGATGTTTCATTTAAAAGAAAATGTGTTGACTTGTTTCTATAAGTGGAGATCACTTTCATGCCAGCTTGAAGATCGCTTTTATGTATATGCTGGATCATCGTCTTGACAGAACAGTAAAGATGTTAAGATAATATTATATATATTGGTTACAACCAGTATAATGCCTTTTTTTTTTTAATTTTTTTTTATTTTGAGTGGTCTTAGAGAAAACATCCTTGAATTACTTTTTATTTTTCATTTCTTCCATAACACATTACTCACATAGGCCTTTTAAAGCCTGTGAAAGGGTAATGCCTAACCTACTGCGTGGATGCTTTCCTCAGAAGGCACATATAGATCACCTTGCAGATCAAGGAAAGACACATTTTTATTCTTAAGAAACGTTGTGTATTTCCTTTCAGTTTCCTATTTCAGTCTTTCAGTGTCCCTGGGGAAATGCAGTATCTCTTCTGAATTTGCATGAAAATATTTTGAAAGGGTGGAGAGACCTGATTAAGGCAATGTTCCTTGAACTACTCGTAAATACATACCCTCAAAACCAAAAAGCAGCTTCTTTCCATACAGACATTTTCTCTAATCCTAATGATAAACCAGTTCCAGAACTGCAGTGCATGTGTGCTGGAGTTTGCTGCTTTCTTTTTTCTCTTAAACTTAGCAACCTACAACACCCCCTTTTCCTCTGAAAGTCATTCTTTGGAACAGATGGAAGAGGGTTACATCCTTCTACAAGTGGGGAGGTATCTAGGCAAGCAATGGGCTTTTTTAAAACATACCGTTCTCTACAAGATACTTTAGATGGTAAATAGAACATGTATGTTTATTTGTAACATCGGAAACAAGAAGTCTTTATACCCAACCAGTTTGTATGAATAAAAGCATCAGATTTACTGTCTTTTTGAGTAATAGTTTTGCCTCCTCTTTGGGAGGGGGTGAGTCTGAAAAACGTGCAGATTTTTCACCATGTCAGATGGGATGGCATGGTTTTAGCATTTAGTTCAGGGTTTTAACATTTAGAGGCTTGTCTTGACCTCTACTAAAGGATTCTTCCCTTTGAAGAAGCAACTGGTAAGCATGTCAGTGTATTTGCATTCACCAATCTGCATCTTGATCTGAAAATACTATAGTTGACAGTTCTCTGATTTTAAGCAAGAAATAATAATTTAACTAGATATCATGTCACCCGTGTTTGAAAACACAATTACTTCTCTGTTTTAGCTATTTTTTTACAAGACTGCTCTGTTTATTCTGTAGATATTTTGGACATCAGACAAAGGACTCCTTAGTTGTAGGAATAAAGGAATATAAAGAAGCTACCAAATAATTGAAAAACCCCAGAGTGGATCTAGCTTTTTTTCCTTAAAGATGTTCCCTCTTACTCCTAAGTGAGTCTTTTTCCAGGGTCCTAAAACTTCTAAAGAAGTTCTCATTCTCAATTACTGTTGGCAGTTCGGAACTACTTAACATCTAGAGGTATTTCTGTTGAATGACTGCTTTTTAGAAGTTTTCTTTTTAGTTGTTACTGTTTCTTGGTACAACTGTTGTAACAAGGTTATGCTGCAAAGTTGCAGAGGTTTTGGACTGTTAGTCATGGATTTACAGTGAACGCAAACTCGAGGGCAAATGGTTTTTCAGTATTTTTCAATCCAGTATTCACAATTTCTCCACTGTTCACATAGTTTATTGAACATTAGGAGAAATTGTGGTGTTAAACATTGTGCTTTGTAAACTAGTTTCCTACCAGCCCCAAAGATTTGCTCTGTCTCTGATTCAGTTTTATCTTTCTGCATCCACTGTTCCCCTATTGAATGCCCTTCCTCTTTTTATGTGCGTGCTGATCTTAGGCATATTTAAGTTATATTTTCTTTTATGCATATGGTTTGACTAGGAATTCTTGCTGTTGGTAAGGGGAACGTATTTTTCATTGAAAGGACTTGGAGATGACTCTTAAGATCATCTTAGCTAATTTCTGGTGAGAAGTAAGGCACTAGATCTGTCTTTCAAAGATGAAGTTATCTGTCAGGCTCTGAGCAGTATATAACCTGATGTTAGACCATTCTAAGAAGGCAGTTAATTTGGGCTTCGCTACCTCTTTAAGAAAGATTCTAGACTTCCCCAGACAAAGTGAAGGGGTTTTGCTGTTTTCTCTATTACTTCACTTCACAGACAGTATCTTCATAGACAGTCTTCAAAGCCAATGGTAACCCCTCCCAGCAACCCCTTCCTCCAAGAGGATGGGCAAAATTCTTTCAGCAGAGTTCCTAAACTAAAAAATAATTCCTGAACTTCTTCTCCTCTGCTATGAATTAACTCTAACTTGGGTTTATATTTACATTGAAGATGATATACTTCCAGACTGGTTTCTGCCGCTTCTCTGGGGTTAATCATGAAGAGCGTATAGAAAAGTGGTTGGATGCTATTCTGACATTAAGTGAATTTAAAAAAAACCCCACAGACACTAATAAACAATCTGTGTTCCAAAATCATGTTTACAGTACAGAAATGTCAGCTTTATATTGGATCTAAATTTATATTATAACCAATAAACCAGAAGTAATTAATAAATTAATGCTATTGAAACAAAATGGAAATGTTCTGGAGCCAGTCAGTAAAACTGCTTACTCCAGAACCTATTTAATTTGTGTATTTTCCCCATTTATCTGATTCTAATGTACTTGGAACTGCTGTACGTGAGCAGCATCCTATCTGCTTCATGGAATTTCTTCTCACTTCCTTGCTTTGGAGCCACGTCAGAATGGCTCCTTGGGGAGCTGCTTACAAAGCCTGCATGTGCACTTGTGATTTACCAGTTTATACAGACAGATTCCTTTTTTTTTTTGGCTGTTAATGCTGGTTTGGTGGGTAGGTGAAACATGCATTTGTTTAGAGAACGAAGAGTTAAAAAGCGGGCTGGGAAAGGCTTTGGCAACCTAGAGGGAGCCAGCAAGCTCCGGCCCTGACTCATTCTGCCCTGTCAGTCAGATAAGCCTCAGCATCTGTCACGACTGCAGGCAGGTAGGGTTAAACTCCGAGCACGCAGAGAGTGAGGAGCAGGGAGCCTGCACTGCAGGGGTTGTAATGTTTTTTCCCGGTTCTTCAATTCTCATCAGCCCTTCAGCTACAGGAGATCTATACTGGAGCCATGGTAACGGTTTTAGCACACTACACTTCCATCAGCTTGTGACAATGGGCTATGTTCTAGTTGCTGACTGAAGAGCTGTCTCCTTTATAGAGCAAAGAAGAGATTAGTAGATTTGCAGTGAGAGAGGACCCGAGTGATGAAATAACTTAAAAAAAACCCAAACCAACCCTTTTAGAAAACGTGATTTAATGAGGCAGGAATTGCACAGCAGGTTTTTGCATTCATTCCTTTCACACACATAACCGAGCCAGCAGGTAGCTTGGGTGCTGCACATCTTTGAGAAGAACTTGTTCTTTTGTTCTGCTGGTTAATTAAACTGAAGCAAACACGAGAAAATCAGCTGAAATGAAACAACTGCTTAACAAGTTAAATGGTACCGATTTAGAAATTGTAGTAAGAAATACATTGTGATTCCTGCTATTTATACCCCTCTTCAGAGCTGATTGTATCGGAGCCAGACTGCAGTGGTGTCCTGACAAGAGTTCCAGATCTTTAGCAAGCTCTATAGAGAAATAAAATCTCACTGTTATTTCTTCCCTTCCTAAAGACCAATTAATTTCTGGTAGCTGTAGTTTCTTAGAATTGTCCAGGAGAAAGACCATTTTGCTGTTCATTAGAAGCTTATGCTGGGAGGATTCTTGGTAGTATTAAAGGTTAAAGGTATCCCTTAGCTGACTAGCAAAGGATCAGGCTACGTTCTCATGTAGTGTCACTAATTGCATAGGTTGGAGATGCTTTCTAGATGAATCAGAATGGAATTACTTTCAGCTGTATCACAGAACTGATTTTCTTAGCCTGATGCTTTGATTTGATTCCATGTATGTGTTTAAAAAACCAAAACCTAACCTGAAAGAAACCCACCCCAAACCCAGCAATCTCAAATCCCCATCCTAAACCCCAGTTTAATCGCTGGGGGTGACATTCTGCCTGCAGAGTGGTAGCCATCTTGGTAGCTTAAGGGTTAATCTCTTGTTGCTGTAATACATTGGAGAGCAGCAGCTCAGTCTGCTTGTGTTAGCAAGATTAAAAGCAGGAGCTGCAGTGCCATTGCAAGCACTGAATGAGTGGGACTGTTGCAGAGTGAACTGTAGCTGAATTTTGTCTTTTCTTCTTGCTTTTTTTCACCAGCTCCTCCCCCCTTCGTTCCTACTCTCAAGTCTGATGATGACACCTCAAATTTTGATGAACCAGAGAAGAATTCGCGGGTTTTATCCTCTACGCGCCAGTTGAACCCAGCAGGTTTCTCGGGTGAAGATCTGCCGTTTGTGGGGTTTTCATTCATCAAGGCATTAGGGATCCTCAAATCAGAGTAAGTAGGAATTATTGCTTAGGTAGATTGCTTAGGACTGTTTGAAAAAATGTGAAGGTTTGTTACAGTGAGGATGGTGTGTGTGAGGAAAAGCTGTTTTAACTGGCCTGTACTCTGCTTTAGGAAGCTGCCAGATTTGCCTGGATCTGTTGCTACTGTGGCTTGTGCCTGTCCTACTGTTTTGTGATTATTTCTGGGATGAGGGGGAGGGAATGGAATGGAAAGATTGATTCTAAACCAGTTACTGTTAAAATTGTTGTTCAAATACTTTCAGTCAGTTATTGCTGTTAACCAGGGAGCAGTAGGTGATTGCATTTCTGATATTGCAGATCCCTGAAAGAATGAGAATACTGAGGAGTTCAGAGATGGAAAAGGGGGTGTGTGTTATTTTATTGGGTCAGAGAGTGGGCACCAAGTGCTGGGGATGTGTAAGGCTGAATCAGTGATCCACAGAAATGGAGCTCTGCTAATCTGGGAATGTGCAGTGATGGGTCAGTGAAGAAGAGAAGGATCTTCATGGCAGCTGACTGTGTGCTGTTGGGTCAAGTTAAATATGAAAACTGGACATTGCTGTATTTTGTGTTAAGACAGTGGAGATTTAGATGGAGTATGCAGGGTATGTGTCTGTGGAGGGAGGTAAAGATCTAGAAAAAGTGGGCTTCAATTGAAAGAATACATGCTTTCTGAGAGAATGCAGTCGGAGGAAAAAGAATATTATAAATAGTGGTATAAACCATTTGGTGTGGTGGGTGGTTAGTTTCTGATGACAGAGCTATTGAAAAAGTATTAGTGCAGTAGGTTAAGTTAGGAAGTCCTTCCCTTAGTATCGTGAGGTCTCTCAGGAATGCAATGGCTTTAGCTGGGTTAGTGACTCAATGCACTCCAAGGTGCTGTGTTTTTGTGTCAACCATCGTTCACTGCTGCTCATCAGTTCCCTTCAGGGACTTCGTTGTCAATCTGCCTTAATCAAGTTTTCGTGTTTTTGTCATATTGGTTGTGATAGTTGCTCTGCGGTAAGTGTGTAACCAAATCTGGTGATACTGTTGACACCTTTGATCTTGCCCACACTATGAATCAAGGTTATGTGCTGGTTATGCCAATAATAAAAAGGGAATCTTTGACTGTCTCTCTTCAGCAGAGTTGCTTTGATGACAAAAGAGGAAGGAAGGGAGAGGAAATAAACCCCCTCCAAAGTATTCTTTTACTTATCTAATTATCGAATTATTATCTAATATTGAAATGAACTAATATTGTCAGCAGAATTAGGAAAATGGAATGTTATATTTGTAGATCCTGGGGTTAAAAATCCATTGATTTAGAAGTGAAATAACTTACGGCATTACGTTTTCTGCTTGGGAACTGCAATCCGTCTATCAAACCTACATGACCATTCACGTAACAGTAAGAAGAGGCTCAACAGTGACCATATCTATATGGTAGAAATGTGTATGTAATTGGTCCCAGGACTAGAACTGAGGAAGAGGTGAGGTAAAGTCCCAGGATCAGTGGTATAACTGTGCTGGAGGTTGAAGGCTGAAAAGTAATGCAGATATAGCAGGTGGATTAATGTGCTTTCTTTGTGGAGCTCGTACTGAAAATGACTATTGAAGTTACATTTGAATTCTGGTAATCGATGAGAAGAGGTACAGCAACCGAATAGAGATTAATGTGCTCTGGAGAAATTCTGACTGAAGTAAAATCTCTGCTTGGTGTGGCCTGTTTTCTCCTGAGCTGGAACAGAAAGACATCGTGTACTTCATTTTCCCCAGAATAAATTTTAATAGAAGTACATCTCAGTTTCTTTTTTTTCTTTCTTTTTATTCTTTCTTTTTTTTTTTTTGAATAAGATGTTGATAAATACACTTTGATTTTTTAATTTATTTTTTTTTTTCCCAGTAAATACTTGCATTTTCTTCTATGAAGGTGATTTAAATATATCAAAGAGTGTATGGAGACTCAAAAATATCTGTATTTAAATAATGTGGCGATTAGTTTCTTCTCAATATCACTGCAACACTGGGTCATAAAGCTCACTTCTTACTTATAATATGTTGTGTGTTGTATGTTTTGCCTGAGGAAATAAAGTACTGTTTCTGTCCACACTAGTTTGAATATCAAATTCTGGATGGGAAAGAGAACTGTACATGAGGGGTAGGCTTATCTGTTGCAAATCTTGGGATGTCTTCTCTGGAAGGTCCTAAGCCATAGTTTATCAGTCCAGAATTTTTCTTCTTAAAATCTTTCCTCTAGAAGTCTAACGCTTTTGCTAAGTGCTGCAGATCCTTTTTCCTGTGTCTGCAGCATGATAGCTCTAATGCCTCTAGTGCTGCTCCTAGTCAGGCTGGGCAACTGCAGAGTGCCATTAACAAGGTCCTTTAAACTTTCGTTGCTTTTAATGTAAGGGCTGTCCAGCTATGAAGTTTAGAGTTATCCTGTTGCCTTTGTTCACTGGACAGTAAGAAGCTGTAGCTGAGCTTGGAGTTTCAAATACTGCAGAAAAATGGCAGTTAAAAAAAATGGACAGAAGGATAAAAGACATTCTCTTTTCCAGTCTCCTCTTCCTCCTAACCGCTTCGGGTTAGAAGGGTTCACTGAAATCACTTTGACCTGTTGCCAGAAATCATGTAGTCAGTGTGTAGTTTAGAAGGGTCCACTGAATGAAATTGTTCTATATGTTGCCCCATACCATGAGTTTATGGAAGAATTTGTGACCATGTAACAAACATAAGATTGAACAAAAGAGCAAAAGGCACGACAATAATGTGTGGTAGGAAGCAGTCAGGAGAAATCAAGGGCATTGCTTATGTCATAGGTTCCTGTACTAGCCAAGTGTTTGTTAATCACCTATATGATTCTAAGAACTGGGATCAAGCTGCAGAAAAGGAGCAGCTAACTTCTTCTTCCATCATGGCCTCTAAATTCTTGATATGGGGGAGAACTGCCTATCTGACTGCAAATCTGGCTGCTGGTTTGGCTGCGAGTGTGGGACTGTGACAAGATAACAGGCAACTGAGAGTTTAATTCCATTAAAAGCCAGCCCCACTTCACTTCTTGTCCCTAACCATGGCTGATCTCCAGTGCTCAGAACAAGTGACAGAAACCCTTAGATGCCAGAAATATGCATCAAGTGGTGAAAGAAAATTCTTCTTGTCCTTTGCTGGTGACTCTTAGAAGCCCTTAAGGCATAAGAGAAACACATTAGAAATCCAGGCATCCAAAATGAAATCCAGCCAATCCATACCAAAACATCTAATAAAAGTAAATACCTAATAAACTAAACTAGGATACCTCATAAAAATCAATACCTAATAAAACACACCAAAATGCCTAGTTAAAAATAAATACCAACATAAAAAATCGTTTATGATGTCAATTTTTGCCTGCCTCTGACTGGAGCAGGGAGCTAAAGTGGTCTGACTACTTATGATGCAAACCTTAGATTAATACAAAATGCTTGCTAAACCAAACCTAGAGATAGATTCACAGGCAAGGCTGACAGTGGGGCTAGTACCTAACCTCAGTTGTTGATATAGAGCTTTAGTTTTGGAAATAATCTATCAGAATATGATAAATGTAATCCTAGTAATTCTTGAACTGTGGTCTGTGAGGCTATGGTAGATGGTCCAAACCTTTTCTGCAAAGTTCTAGGGTTTAAAATGGGCCTTTCTTCCAAAAAGAAGGACTGCTGATTTCTTCCAACAGTTTGTCTGGTTCTGGTAAACTCTTTCACCAAAGATAGATTAAAGAGGAAGCACAGGGTGAGCATATCAAAAATATACCTTGCTTCAGCTAGCTCTATTCACAGATTGATGCTATCACTGTTTGGTTTTCGTTGGGTTTTTTTTTAGGCCTGAGCAAGCATTTACGAGGGGGTGGAAGGTACAGATGAGTATAATGCTAAAAAGAATAGAGCATGAGGGCTGGGGGATGAGATTATAGGCATGTTGTGTGGGGGGCCAGGATTAGGACAGATGGTGTCAAGCGTTGTGAGAAGGAAGAAGCACAGGTGAGTTGGGGGTTTGTGAGAGTGGCATAAAAGGACAAAGGAAGGTATGATGCACAAGAGAGGGGTGTGAGTTTGATACATCAGAATCATCTTAGAGCTTTTGCTGTACTTCCACTTTCTTCATCTTCATCTCAGCCACAGACTGGTGGAGCTTTTACTGAACTAGCACCATTTCTGATAGTTCTGCTGGTAGAGATCTGGCTGTGCAATCACTAGATGGGCACCTGTCAGCTTGGTTGGTTTTAGCTGTGCAGGCAGTGCATCTTTTGAAACTAAATTGGCACAGGTAGTGCTATCAGCACTTGGGACTATAGACTTTGGGGCTTTTCAGTCTTTTATTGCAATTTTCTTGTTGATGTATGCCGGTTACCTTTTGTTAATCTTTTCTTCACACTTGAGAGGAAACAGCAGAAACTGCTCTGTTGTGCTAAGAATTGATCCAGATGTAGCAGTTAATTAAATGAAATATTCTGAGGGGTTACCAACCCGAATGATAGCTTTGCATCGTGGCTTTTGATGTTGGATTGCATGTGTTTAATTTCCGAGATGATTCCTGACTGAGGAAGAACATAAGTGCCCCAGCAATGTGGGTATTTTCCACCTTGTCATGCTGTGTTGAGAGCTTGTATCACCATGACAAGGCTTATTAGATTAGTCAGTATTCCATTTCTCTTGATTTCCTCTGTCTGCCCCCTTTCTGATACTCTGAAGGTTGTATGGATGTTCTTGAAGTTGTTCTAATATAATTTGTACGCAGGAAAGAATTGCTGCAAAAGGACATTTCTTAAAAACTGTGTGTCCAGTGCTAACTGAAATCAGCTTCACTCGGGGATAAGATGTGCTTTTTCCATGGCAGGAAAATTGCCATGTCACCAGGACACGTATTTTTAAGGAATTCCTTCCTCCCTTTGGCTAGGGATGAGGAAGAAGATTGGAGTTCTAGTTTGCAGCGTTCTTTCCTTCCAAAACTGACGCCAACCATGAGGAGCAGCTCCCTCTACAGTCGGCTCATGAAACTAAGTTGGGTCACTGCGAGTCTCCCGTGCTCTGTTACATCCCATTGCTCTGGGCTGAACAACTGGGTCTCTGCAGAGAGAGCTTCTTGCCCGAGTCTCTCCTGTTACTTCCCGTGGTGCAGTGCTTATGGATGCTTTAAGTTGTCTTGCTAAGAGAAATGTTTGAAATGGAAAATGGTGCCTGGAATACCATTAGGCTCTGACTCTTAATAGCAAATAAAGTAAATAAGCAAAAATAAGAAATAAAATTAGCTCCTTTAGGGAGGGGAAATAGAGACAGCAAATAAAAGCAGGTCTGTGAGGACTAGCTGTACTTTGTTTAGGTAATGCCTCAGATTTGTAAAAGAATAACAGTAAAATGGTGATGGCTAATGTTGAAACTTTAAGTAAAAAAGCCAAAAATGTAGTTTTAGCCGGGGCAGTTCAGCCCTGTGAAGCTAAATTTTAATTATAAGAAGATTTTCAGACTCGTCTCAGTACATTGCAGCTATTTACATATATTTGATTAACATTTTAAAGCAGATTCCTTAGTGTCTTTTTTAGTTAATGTGAGCTTTAATTTGTATTTTTAGACTGCTTTTTCTCAACTCTTCATTTTTAGCCTTGTTTGTACACCCAGCTGTTATAGGATTTAATATGCATCTTTCTCAGATGGCTGCCTTTTCTCTGTAGGAGTATAGACACGCTTTATAAATTGATTTTAAAATATGATAATTTGATGGATCAGATTGATTGGACCAGGACTAAAGGAATGCTTTACAAAAGTATTCGCATTTTCAAGGCCAGGTTGGACGGGACTTTGAGCAACCTAGTCTAGTGGAAGGTGTCCCTGCCCGTGGCAGGGGGTTGGAACTGGATGAGCTTTAAGGTCCCTTCCAGTCCAAACCAGGCTGGAATTCTATGGTTTGTTTTTTATTAAGTCCTAATCATACCTGTCTAGTTGACGTGTAGGATTCTTTCTTCTAAGTTTTTCCGTCTCAGATGTCTGAAGGAATATTAAGATTTGACCTTTTAAGGCAGAATTGGTGGGTTTTGCTAGGTTTGTTTGCTAATATCAAACCAGTGTTTCCTAATGACTGCCTAAAGTGTCAGTACTGAAGATCTACTTTGATATAGCTAGGTTGCTGCAGCATTTTCATAAAACCCCAGGTGTCTTTCTCTTTTGTGACTACCCTGCTTCTCCCTTTGAATTAAAGAGTAGATTTTTCTCAGAAAATGGTGGTGATGGAATCAAACTTTTCCTTAGTGTTAAGAGAGACTGTGCTGCTGTGTGTGGGTGTATGGCTATATGCAGAGAGCTGCTCAAAGCTCATTTCTCTCCATGGGGATAACTGGCTGCATACCAAACTGTGGCCAGGAGAAGCAGAAAGCAATGTGTGGGCAGACTGTATGATCTTTTATTAGCACCTTCATTCTACTTCTGCATTTTCATCTATCAGTTAACACTGGTTCCATCACATCATTAACTGCTTAAGTTTCTCATTTGAATCATTTTATGCGACGGAGAATGTGATATATATTTTTTTAATTATGTTTTGATGTGTGTACTTAATTTTTTTGGTTGCAAATTACAGATTTAAGACTGCAAAGCACTAAAAGTATGCTCCAAAAAGCTGAGTGGCTGCCTATCCTTTCCTAGAGTGAATTTAGGCTAACAGTAATGGTAAACTTCTTAACTGTTGAGTCTCAATTAGAAAGCCTAAGAACATGTAAATATTTCCCCCAGGTTTCTGGAGTCAGATTGTTTTGAACAGTACAGTTGTGTCTCTTGGAAAAAAATTACTTGTAAGTGGAACTCTGATATTCTGCAGTGTGACTAATCATATTGGTATTGATTGGGTTCGTAGGGATTGCATGAATTGGGTTTGTAAAGTTTCAATTTTGATTCCCAGAAGGTAACTAAGGATATTAAATTCTTCCTGTGGTGCAGATTATGACAAGTTAAAGTTTTTTAGGTCTTTTGTACTTTGATGATGATTTTAAAACTCGTTTAAAAATAAAGTACAAAGTCGAAAGCAATTCTCTGTAAATTTGATATCTTTCCAAATGGTTACATTGACTTTATGCTTTGTTTTTGTTACACTTATAAATCTCTGCAAGTTATGCAAAATTGTTGCTGTGATCTATTGTTTTGCACTTTGATGTAAAAGTCACTGCTAGGAAATATTTATGTTGTAACTAGAAGTACACATGGATTATCTAATAAACAGGGGAAGTTCAGGTTAGATATAAGGAAGAAGTTCATTACTGTGAGAGTGGTGAGACACTGCACTGCACAGGTTGCCCAAAAACGTGGTAAATGCTCCATCCCTGGCAGTGTTCAAGGCCAGGTTGGACACAGCCTTGAGCGACATGGTCTAGTGGAAGATGCCCCTGCCCGTGACAGGGGGGTTGAAACTAGATGATCTTAAGGTCCTTTCTAACCCAAGTCATTCTGTGATTATACGAAATACTGTTGTCAGGTTTTATGGTATGTTTGATCTGTATTGATGGCTGTTAGACTGTGATTGCTGCACCTTTCTTTTATCCTGGTATAAGAAAGTACCCAATGGCTTTACCAAGGCTGCATAAATGCAGGTTTCTGTAGCTTTTACCTGTATTCACGTGCTGTTTGGCTTTGCTCTTTTAGATCTGTTTTTTCAAGTGTGGATTCTCCAGCCAAGGTCAGCTCCATGGAAAACAAACTTCTTCTCAAGAGCAAAGAACTCCAAGACGTCCAGGACAAGTGTTACAAGGTATTTATTTATGCGATTGGCCATCTCCATTGCTCCAGGAATCTGCAACCACTGTATGTCCAGGGATCTGTCAGATGCTGCTGATCATCCAGACTCGTGGTGGGCAAAGTGCTTTTCCTTCAGTGAGGTGGCTTCCTGTCCAGTACAAAGGGAAATGAATTTAGGCCATGCTGTTGCTCTAGATACTTTTATCTTAACGAGAAGTGGCTCTGGATTTTAAACAGTCCTTTTCTCAGCGTGACACAGACGACTGCTTCTTCCTGCAGGCCGTGCCTCTTCGTCATACACACAATTACAGCAGTACTGTTCTGAGGTTCTCTTCCTAACTCATCAGCTTCTACTTACATAACTGTTTGTCACGTCACTGGTTATGGTGAACATCTTATAACAGTTGCTGTACTCCAATAAAGGGAACCCAGTGGAGTCTTTTAAAACTTACTGCTTGTAAGAGACTTTTATGAGAGTTTGTTTGCATTTCTCCCTGCTCTGTTCTGGATTTGACCATTTACTCCTGACAAGGAGATGGGGGGAAACCATCTTCTGGTCCAGCATGGATTTGGGATAAGGTTAAAGTGACCCATCTCTGCAAGTCAGGTGAAAAATGATTGTGTCTTCTTTGCTAACTGGGGTTCGAAGAACGACTGAATATGAACAAGCAGCTTGAATGAATGGGGTGACTTAGACTTACTACTTGTCCTTAAGAAGAACTGTGCATTCCTGGAGCAGAGACAATGGTATTGGAATTTAAACGCCATTTGGAGAAGCATAGCTAGCAGTCTCTTGGAGACAAATTCCTTACAAACAGAGCTCTGAAAGTAGCAGCTAACAAAGCTTTTGAAGCCCCCTTTGTAACCTCTTGATATTTATTGCAGATGGAGCAGGAAATGACGCGGTTGCACCGGAGAGTGTCAGAGGTGGAGGCTGTACTTAGCCAAAAGGAGGTGGAACTGAAAGCCTCTGAGACCCAGCGATCCCTCCTGGAGCAGGACCTGGCCACCTATATCACAGAATGCAGTGTGAGCCCTTACACCAGTCCTTTCAGCTCTGAAGGCCTGAAATCTGGTGGTCTTTGCCTTTCTCATCCCTCATGGTTTCAGTGGGGTACTTGATGGAGAGCAAATGATATGTGAGAGGATATCTGTTGAACATGGAGCCCTGAATTTGTTTGCAGAAGCTTGTTTGATACTTGTATTCAAACTTTGCTTCGTGGTCATGTGCTTAGAACATAGAGGAATAACTACTGTCCTGGTCTTGCTGAAACTGTTTGTGATGTTTGTCTAACTGGCTGTGCTAGAACATGCTTGGGTTTGAATTCTTGCAGGTTTCTTAGCCAGAAGAGGATGGGGCCTAATCAGTGCCAGAAATCAAGGACAAATAAGAGGATTAGTGGTGTTGCCTCTGTCTGTGGTATTCTGAGTTCAGACTGATGCAGTTTCTGAGCACAATGTCAGGGCTGATGCTAGGACAGGTGCTATTGTTCGGGATGAATATAAAAATGAGGCTGTAAAACCATGTCCTCAAAGATCATTTGGCATTTTTCATGGGAGTTGGAATGTCTGCCTACTTGTCCTGGCAAGATTCCAGTGAGGATATTTTCATTCTAGTTAATAGTCAATGTGTTTTGGGTTGGATATAACATTCTGTTTCCTCTCTTGTACAAAGAACAAAAGTCCAGGTAATACTCTTGTTTCTGAGAACTGAAAAGCGTTTCTGATGGGTTGATTTCTTGGGAAGCAGATCTTAAAAGGGACTGAGTGATCTTCCAAATGCTACTAGGTAAAGAAATAGAATTCAGTTTGTATCTTTCTGTTGAAGAGTAACACACAGCTGATAGAAGGACCACTGCTCTGTCAAAAATACACAGGTAGTAAATGTGGTGAGTTACAGAAGCAGCTCTTCTGTTCTTGATGGAATTTTAACAATGGTTAAAGGATTTAATTCACTTAGCAACAAGGAAAATGGTAGTAACATGAAGTTGAAGGACTGTATCTAGGTTGTGAATTAATAGTGCTAGATAAAATGTAGATAAATGTTGTCAAGAATGGATGCCTTTTGGTTTTTGTTTGTTTTGTTTTTTTTTGTCTCTAAACCTGATGTGAGGAAGTAGAGATTTGAACTAAGATTGAAGTGTAGTAAGCAGCATTTGTAGTAAATGGGCTGCAGAAGTAGCACTGGCCATGGATTTCTTTAGGGTTCCATCACTGTGGCCTTGATTTTTTTTTTTTTTTGGTGTCTCCCTGCAGTCAAGGAGGCATTTGTATAGCTAAAGATCTTTATTCTACAGCCATCTGAAAAAAACAAAGGCTATGTATTGAACATTTTGCTTTCTGCAGAGCTTAAAGCGAAGCCTGGAGCAGGCACGGATGGAAGTGTCTCAGGAAGATGATAAGGCACTGCAGCTACTTCATGATATCAGAGAGCAAAGCCGAAAACTGCAAGAGATCAAGGAACAGGTATACCTGCTTCTGCGGGGAGCAGGGTGGCTATCTACAGATAGGCATTCTTGGCATATTGTAGCTCTGTTGCCAGGATTACGTTTTATGTTGGTAGGCTGTGATGATTCCCAGTCTGTGTGTTTTCACATGGTTTCTTAAACAAAATGAGGAGGAACAAAATACACGCTTTTGTGCCTATTGCAAGTAAGCAGAAACTCCAAACTTCAAGTTTTTCTCATCCTGAAAGTACTTTGTCTATAAAACCAGCTGAGGAGAAGGCTGCCATGCTTTAGTAATATGCTGCATTGAAAATGACCTATCCATTTTAAATGTTCAAGCTATACAAATTTTACAAGTTACTGAATCTTCACCTTGGGGAGAGCTGGGCAATCCTTAATTTTGTGTGTTTTTTTGTTCTTCTTCCTTAGATGGCCATTCAAAATGCTGTAATAGCCTTTCAAAATGTGTGGTGCCTAATTTAATCTATTTGCAAAGTAGATGTTCATAAGTTTTTACCACCAGAAGAATGTTGAAAATTCACTAATGTAGGCAATTGTTCATAAGAAAAAAACAATGTTGCAATTAAATGAAAATATGGTGACAAATGAGGACATTTTAGGATGTAAAATCCTGTCTATAAGACAGAACCCATTCAGTTTTATGAATTACTAGCAACATATTGTATTGAGAAAAAGAAATTGAAATTTGCTATGGCATTCAAACCGTTCTTTGCAATTATCTGTTGTTTTTCATCTTCAAAGCACTTTACAAACATTAACTGACTAATTTCATAGTGTTTGAGACAAGAAAAGCTAGAAACCCTGGCAATAATTCTCCAGACATGAGCAGCTCTTATGTAAAAAGTAATGAAATGAAAAAAACAACTCTCTGGATGTAGTAGGCCTCCATAGACTTCTACAGCATTCTCCTGAATGGTTGTTTTATGTAATACGAGGTATCTAAAGCTCATTACTCTGTGTTCTGGTGCTTTGGTAGTGAAGTTACTTTAAATATTGAAATGTGAAGCGTTTTTGGTGAAGATAAATATCAATAGATTCTTAAGCAGTGCAGACACATGGAACAGAGGGAAAATAATGCAAGTAGTTTTCAATCAAATATTCTGGCCCAGAATTTCTTAATTTGGCTTGTGAAGATTTACAATGAGCTGAAAATGCTGTTTAGGTCAATGAATGAATCTGCATTTTCATACCTGGGGTGGTCTTCTGAGCCACCTGAAACTCACGTGCAAGAATACCGCAACAAAATAGGCAGATATGTTTTTGCTGACTCATACCAGGAGGTGGATCTTAACCATGAAAGACTTAAATCATTTTTCTGAAGTCAAAGGGAACTGGAAGGTGAGATGGAAGAGTCCATTAGAGTATTACTGTTAAAAACATAAAGCTTGGGAGAGAATGAGTAAAATTAACAGCACACCAATCTTCAAAACCCAATAATGAGGCATTTGGTATTTGTAGGGCAAGACTGTAGGTTCAACTTAACCCCAGGTACTTGAATAGAAAAACGTGGTGGGTTTGTGGGCTTTTTTTGTGGTTTGTGGGCTTTTTTTGTGGTTTTTTGTTTGTCTGTTTTGTTTGGGGGTGTGTGTTCATTTTCTGTTTGGTTCAGGTTTGATTTATTTTTAACTAAACCTTTTATCCGGTAGTTACTTGATGAAGACCTATATGAATGGATGAACTTGCAACAAACCAGAATCTCTATCTTTTTCGAAAGGCCTACCCATCTGTATGTAGCTACCCTGATGCGATTTGCTTCAGGTGTATGCCCTGAGCTTTGCCTGTCCATTAATATGCACTTAAATTCATCCTGATAGATTTTGAACTATGCTCAATGCATATGCAAGAGGTATTTTTCTGTCACCTTGAGTGATGTTGCCCGTTCCTCTGACCTGAGCATGGGATTTATTCAAAGATAGTCTTGCAAATGTGTAGAAACAAAACCCCCTGAAATATTACTAAATATCTCCTCTTCTTCCTTCTTTTCTCCCTCTCAATTCTCCTCCCTTCCCAAACACTCATTTTCACTCATTACAGTGGCAACTGTAGTCATACCTATAATTCTTTGGTCAAGTGTTTGCTGACATAAAAGACATGTATTTTAGGAAGTCTTGACAAATTATGATTTCTGGGCAGAACATGTATTCCTTCAAACACTGCCTTTTTCATTCACAAACGTATTTGCATGAAATGAATATTTGAGTTTATCTATGCTCACTTGTTATAAAAAGGCTCTAATTCTTTCTGGCAAGAAAATGCTATCAACCGAAGAGAGACTAACTGGAAAGGGTAGGTCCCCTGTCTGCCTTACAAACTGGAGAACCAATCTGGGGATTATCAACCAAAGAGCTATTCTGCCATGCTCTCCCTAGTAAAGCAATCTGTTAAATCTCTACATAAGCTCTCCATGTTGCTAAAGAATCCCAGCTGACACCAGGGTCAGTGTTGAGGCAATCAGTTGTCTAACTAAAGACAGCTGGCTGTCTGGAAGGAGTGATGACAAACCTGATTTTGTCATGAGACAGTTACTCTTTTGAATATGGAGGTAGTCAGACATATTGTAAGATATTAAAATGGAAAGAAGAATAGACTCCCCCACTGTCATTCCTTCATAATTTTTTTTCCTAGCTCTTGATGTGCATGTTTTATACTTGTTCCCTCCTAAAAAACACTTCTTTTTTGTTTGTTCATTTGGTTTTTTTTTGGTGGGGTTTTTGATTTAGAGTAATTTTATACAACATGTTCTTACAGGACTTAGTAAATGCTAAATAAGCATAATTAAAATCTATTTTTCCACTGAAGATATGGGAAGCCATCTCATGAGCTTGTCTCAGTTTGAGTGCCAAGTCTCATTGAGACAATTGATTCAGTTGTTCTTTTCTGCTCCCACCATCCCCTTCCAGATGCCCTCTTTTGTAGTGTCCTGAATGGGGAACCATCATTTTTGCCTGTATAAGCAAATATCTTCTATGGGCAATGTGAGTTTTGAACAGTTTTTCTGAGTTACTATTTGATTTTAGATTGTCTGCCAGAGCGATGTGATCCTTTTTAACTCTATCAAGAGAAAACAGCTGAAGGATAGAAGCCACAGTGTGCTACCCCTCTGCTTCTCCTTCCCTTTTACCCAAGCTTTGCAGATCTGTGGCAATTGTCATGTTATCAGCCTGAGAAAATATATCTTGAGGGAGCATCTGATCATTTAGTAGAGACCTCAACTCAAAGGCACATTTCTGTTTCAGAAATTAGAAATGTAAGTAATTTTTATCATTTGTATATAGATGTATGCATGTGCTTCTGCAGTGCAGCCACTCTCAAAAAGTCAGTGTTTTGACATTATGGGGTAATGACTTAAAAATGGCCCAACTCAAACCACAATACAATGGATATGTTGTTATATTTAGCTCTTATTGTTTTATTTGTACTTTACTTTTCTTCCACATATTCTTAAATGTGCCTCTTGCCTGCAGTCAGTATTCTGGGATTTGCTGCCTCAAGTATTTCCTTATTGCCTCTAAAATCTAATACCTTTTCCTTCCCTTCCACAACAAATGCAGGAATATCAAGCTCAAGTAGAAGAAATGAGGTTGATGATGAATCAATTAGAAGAGGACCTTATTTCAGCTCGCAGGCGTAGTGATCTTTATGAATCGGAGTTGAGGGAGTCCCGACTGGCAGCTGAAGAATTCAAACGTAAAGCTACAGAATGTCACAACAAACTGCAAAAGGTAGTTTAGGCTTCACGGGGGTGTGTGTGTCCCCTCCAAAGATCAAGTGGCTTCTACAACTAATACAAAATGTCATTCAGTTGTAGCCTTGAAATAATGTCATTTATACGTTGTGTAACTGCTTGTGTTTAAATCACATGGGGTGATGACTGGATAGAAGGCCAACGTACTACAGCCTTTCCTGAGACTATGATATGTTTTATACTTAAGTTACAGGTTAAAGATCAAGGGAAAAATGAAGCGGGAGAGTTGTATTCCAAGTTGGAGAAGGTATGTTACTTCAGTGTCTTGGAATTTGCTTCCTGAGTCTTTCATATTATGCATAGAAACCAAGAGTGTCTTTGGTTAGTCAGTGCCATGCACAGTCTCACAGTCCTCATTTTTCTTTCTCTTTTTTTTTCCCCTTCCCTTCCCTTCCCTTCCCTTCCCTTCCCTTCCCTTCCCTTCCCTTCCCTTCCCTTCCCTTCCCTTCCCTTCCCTTCCCTTCCCTTCCCTTCCCTTCCCTTCCCTTCCCTTCCCTTTCCCTTTCCCTTCCCTTCCCTTCCCTTCCCTTCCCTTCCCTTCCCTTCCCTTCCCTTCCCTTCCCTTCCCTTCCCTTTTCTCATTTTATTCTGTTTTAATCTTCTTGGTGTGATCACTGCTCTGACTTGATGTAAAGCTGTGTCTGTGTATCCTGTTCTTAATGAATTGTGTTCAGTCTGAGTTTGCAGTTAGGTTACTGATACACAGGGGTTTTCTTTATAAATAAAGAATACAAATGAAAAATAAAAAGATTTCTGAGTGTTCTCACACTGAACAAGCTACTTGGTGACCCAAATACAGAATCAGCCAGAAGTTAGTAAAATGGGAATAGCTTTGACAAGTAGCATTTCGGTGTACTGGAATTTATAGGGAGAAACAAACATTTTTGGGAAGTGACTTAAAATAAATATGGTATCTTAAGTAGACAGCATGTTTTCCTTTTTGGATTTATAACACTCTTTCCTTCCATCTTTTTACTGAACTGTAGATCAACACAGAGCAGCAGGCCAAAATCCAGGAGCTACAGGAAAAGCTGACAAAGGTAATGTCTGGGTGGTGAAAGTGCATTTTTCCACAAGATTTTCCAGTGAAACCTTAATGCAGAGGAGGGATCCACTTTGTTTTATCCTCAAAAATAGAATTAGTCATAGCATGGGGGATGTTAAGGAAAAGGGGGTGGGAACTGGTATCTGAAATCATTGGTGTTTTCAGTATACTTTTGGCTCTTGAGACATGTCAACATGAAGCTGAGTCAGAACTAGAGTAGTGTAGACAAATTCTAGTTTAAAAGGCCAGTTTGGGTATGCTGTATGCAAAGACTGGTCCCTGGCTCCTGAAAAGAGGGTTCACATGTTTTTAGCTCACTAGTAAAATATGTGTTGGACTTGGTTTAGTCTCCCAGTATACTGTTTTAATTGCAAAATCACCTTCCATTCAGTTATTCACGGTAAAAATGGTGAACGGTAAGGATTCCCAGCAGGATTAAAATCCCTTATCAGTGTAAGCTGAAGGAAGTACACACTATCTGATGCTTGCAGTTGTAGTCAGTCTGTCACTTAAGGTGGCACTGTAAGAACAGTAGGGGAACTTCTCTTCTTGGGATGTTTCAGCAGAAAAGAAATAGTAATTGTAATAATTGACTAAACTTTTCAAACTTGGCACCTGGAGAGAGAGGGCTTTTTCAAGGTTTAGTGATCTAGAATATGAATCTGAGGCCAAAACTATGTAGAAACAGTCCTAATATTTCAAAACAGCCATATTTTAATCTCCTTCTCCTTTCCTCCTTTCATTAATTCAGTCTAAAGCGAACAGGTTATTCTCCTCATGTTCTAGTAGGAGTTTTTGGTGAGTTCTTCCCAAGAACTTCCACTGAATTTGGGGATAGACTTTACTTTATGTATAAAGAGACAATTAGAAACTTGCAGTCCAGCAAGACAAACGTAGATCCCTTGGATTTTCAGGGTTTTTTGTGAAACGGAAAAGAATGACATAACAGAAGTTAGGATTTGGGTTGCTACATGCATTTAAGATTGTCTTAATTTGAGGCTGCTAAGCCAAAGTTCTGTAGCAGTTTTACTCAGAATGTTGACCACCTCAGGGTTAGGAGCTTTTCACAGGCAAGTTTTTGCACGTGCATTTTTCTCATAATACCTTCCCCACCTCCCTTTGAACCTTTAGGCTGTGAAAGCCAGCTCAGAGGCAACTGAACTTCTTCAGAATATCCGCCAAGCAAAGGAGAGAGCTGAGAAGGAGTTAGAGAAACTGCAGAATCGGGAAGATTCGAATGAAAGCATGAAGAAGAAATTGCTTGAGGCGGAGGTGAGTACAGAATGTCTATCTAGAGTAAAGTAGCTATTGGGATGTGTCTCAGTTTAGGAACCCTCATGTGGATGACTGTAAACCTTCTGTATTCCTATAGGAACTATTCATGGAAAAGTGATGTTAGACATTAATCCAGTTTTAATTAAAAAGCTTCTATTTATTTGAAGAAAACTGAGAGCCTTTTTATTTTCAGTGAGGAGTCAATAAAGATGCGGTTAGCATAAGGGATTTGAGGCATGGTGAGGATTTCAAATCTAAAAGACAACCATGTATTGACTGCTTCAGCTAACTTAGAAACTGCTCACTGCTTTATGGTAATGCAGGGTTGGTTAATCTAAATGCAGTTAATAATCGCTCTGCAGGAACGGCGCCATTCTCTGGAGAATCAAGTGAAGAGATTAGAGACTGTGGAACGAAGAGAAAACCGTCTCAAGGAAGATATTCAAACTAAATCTCAACAGATTCAACAGATGGCAGAAAAAATTCTGGTGAGCAGAAGTGAAAATGAAAGATAAAGGGTAAGAGTTTGTGAGAAAGGGGTAGGAAAGGAACAGAAGACAAAATTACACTGAATAACGAGAAAATTGTTGAATGAAAGGATTTGTTTCTTGTACCAGTCATACTGGAGAAAGCTTCAGCGCTGAAATTATGCCTGCACCTTTAGTTACAAACTCACTCCTGTACCTTTAGTCTTAATACTACTTGAAACTTCTAGTTTTCTCAGTGGGAGCACTTTTATGTCACTGTACTATATTTAACTGAATTATCCAATGATTGTTTCAGAAGTAAAACATTCTCAGGACAGGATGCTGCACCAATAAAAACGTTGATTATCTAGCTTTTAAATTAAATTGCAAAGGAATTTAGAGGTCAGATCTATGTGAAATGGTTACATTTCAAAGCAGAGAGAAATTAGTCATCTAAACTGTTCGTCTCCAGAGACAATATTTGTCAGGAATCCATTTTCACCCACATACCTTCTCTGTTGGCAATTCCTTGTTTCTCTTCTTGTTAAACCTATTAAATCTTTAGAGCGAGTTGGTTTGTCAGTCTACAGTGAACCAAGCAGAGGGTGTTTTGAATACTTTTACTTCCCTGGGACAGGAAGTATAACTTTGTAATGGAATAATTAAATTAATATTGTGTTTCTCATGAGCTCTTTTTTGTGTTACCAATATGAGAAGGAAAAAAAGATTAGATTTTATTGGTAGCAATCCTGAGCATAGGCACATCTGAGGAAAGCCAAAATATAATATAGATCTATATATGTATGTATAGAGATATAGATGAATATAAAAACATATATAAATAACTATATTTGGAGCCAGCAGATGACCCATACTTGTTCTGGGTAATAGCTGCATATGTGGACTTTACCATCAGAATGCCTGAATGCTCTCAAGAAAAGGCAGAATCAGTTCCTTAGTAGTGGTGTTTGTTTCAGATTGTTTTGATAACTTGAGTGCATGGTAAGTGGGAGACTGGTTTTACTGGGCACAGAGCCAACTTTATGTTTAGAAATAGTGTAAAACTTTGAATTGTTTCATAAGCCTCTTGTGTGTATTTGGGGATTGTTCCTTAGTTGTGATTACGTTCTCTGTGGAGGCAAAACTGGAGGGGAAAGCAGAAATATCAACTAATTGTTTTACACTGAGGGATATGTTTAGCTCTTCTTATAGATAGTTTCCATGGAGTTCTGACAGAATGTTGGAGACACACAGAGGTATTTTATAAGAAAGTCAAATAGGCGTCGAAGAAATAATTCTACAGAGTCTTTCCTAGTCCTTTGCAGCTCTGCTCTGGGAGCGCAGGGTAGTGGTTTTCTTTGTTTTCTCTTCTACCCTGTTTGTTCCCTCAAGTGGATCTCTTCAAACACGTTTGACTTTTCCTGATATGGAAAGTACAGAAAGGAAGGAAGGGAGGTGAAGATACAGACTTGCATAGAATAAAATAGAAATTGTTGAGTAAAGGCATTGGTTTCATGTACAGTCATATACCCAAGAAGTACCTGCTGATCTGCCTGTAGAGATTTTCATAACAAGTAAGAAACAAGTTAGAGAAGATACTTACTATTGCTTGAAAGTATAGATAGTTGTTATGGTGCTAATAACAAAGCTTGTGCTACATAGAGAATAGTAAGTGGTAACTGGAATGGTAAGAGATTACCTTTTTAAACCCACAGTGGCTGCTAAGTGCCACTGCAGAAATTGGTGAAGCTTCTCCTACAATATGAGCAGTCTGATGCTGGTAGCTTTGAAGCTGCTGCTGATCTGGTTGTCTGATTCTCTGCCAGGACCTGAAACGTGTGGGCTTCTGGGGGAGGTGAGTTGTCCCTCTTGTTGCTGGGAGACATATTTCAATTGCAAAAAGCAGCAATCTCCATTCCTTGCAAAAGTGTTGGGTACCAGGCACTGTAGATGACCTACTTTTAGTGAACCTCGTCTTTGAGTCTCGCTTCTGGAAAAAGAGGTCTATTGCAGTTAGTGAATCAAAAAAGTCTTTGTATGTTTTCAAGATGAGGAAGATCAGAAAAGAGAATATGAAAAGAGCGAAAGTAGAAGTATCAGGAAATTTTCCTGTGCTATGCAGTAACGAAGGCAGACAGGAGGGATGCATCCCCAGGCCTGAACTAGTCTATGCAAAAATCAACCCAGTGGTAGAGAATGACAGACCTGGATCTGCCTCTTGGTTTTAAGGAAATTGGTGGAATAGCAAATAGGATGATGAGTGAGCAGAAAGTTCTAAGCTCAACTTTTACAAAGTGTCCTGTTGGAAGGTGATTATAGATATATCCTGAATAATACAGTCAGGCAGCAGAAGTAGCTAACTTCTGAGATAGAAAATCATGTGAGTCCTTGCGGTACAAACTATCTGATGTGAAGAGATTAAAACCATTCTGTTCTACCATCCATATTGCATTCTGCACTTTTCCTTTTTCAAGCAATTTATAAATAGTTATTCTGACAACATTTGTCTGAGGAATATAGCAAAGTAAATACTATTCCCACTATGAATGTAGAATGAAAAGCACAGACAGCAGTGTCCCATTATTGAGGTCTGCTGTGAGAAAACAAGTGAGAGACCTTGTTAAAAATAGATCTGAACTTCCTGTGATGCTGCTGCAGCTATAGAGAGTTTATAGCTGCATGTTTTCACAAAATGTCCTTGGCCCATCTTTGGGAATATTTTACTGAGAAATGAAGATGCTTACCATGGAAGTAGAAATCTTTGTCTTCAGCAGTGTGCCTGCTGTACTGTAGATGGGTCATCAGCAAGAAGCAAAGCTCAAGACTGCAGCTCTCTATGTTTTTTTATTACAGCAGTCCTGGCCTTGGGATTTTTGGAGTCTGAAGCCTTAAAAAAGAGAATGAATTAATGTCTGATACCTGTGTAACACATACACCCAGCACCTACTATTTCTTTGTGTCTGAATATGAATCTCTGCTGCTTTTAGGAGCTGGAGGAAAAACATCGTGAGGCTCAAATTGCAGCACAACATCTGGAGTTGCAGCTGAAACAGAAGGAACAATTCTACGAGGAAAAACTCAAAGTAAAAATATCTTCTTAACATCTTCCTACAAGCTTCTGTGGGTAGAATGAGTTCAGGGAAAAACAGTTGCCTTTAGGCTCTGATTGCTTTGTCTTATGCTTATGTCTATGCCTTATGCTTATGCTTCTGCCTTCTTGCTTACCACTGTTGAAATGTTTAGAGCTTAATGGAATCTGAGTAAGTTTTTCTTCTAGGCCATGCCACTCTACCTTATCTGTCTTTAGCACTGCATTAAAACAGATGGCATTTGAAGTCAGAGCTATAGGAAAGCAATTTTTGATTGTAACTTGACTTTTGCTGACTAAATAATACTTATTTAATGCTGCTGGATCTCAAATATCGAAAGAGCTTTCGGTTCCTACTGATGATTTTCTATGAGTATCCACACAGCCTACCTGCAAGGTTTAAATTCAGCAAATACTAGAGCATTTGTGAAATTCCATTTTCTTGGAACTATAACATCTGCCAAGAAGCCACAGAAGCCACCCACTTTGTTTTTGTCTTTTCCAGGGTAGCATAAGACTTTAACAAACAGAAATAGAATCACAGACACCCCCTAAAATCAGGAGAAACAAACTGGGAAATAGGAGTGTATGCACTGGCTAAGGATTTTTCTAAAGAACCTGCATAATGTCAGCCAGTAAATGCATGTTGTAAGAATCTTTGTTTCTACTAAGCATAATCTGTTTTGAGCAATCTTTATCTAGTACATTTACTAGGACTTTAATTCTACATTTCAGCATAAATGTGAGAGGATGTAGTATTTACAGGAGAGAAGAAATTTATATTGGAGAAATATGAAGGGAAGAAAAAAAAAAAGAGAAGAAAGAAGGTTTCCTGGCAGACCAGAGCATGTGGTAATCAGTAATGAGAGGAGAGCGATAGAAAACAGGAAGATCAGAGGTAGATGTTGGAAAGCAGAAGTTTTCCATAAAAAAAATGAAAAGGGATTGGAAACAGAATTAAAAGACAGAGCCAGTGTATTACAGGGACATATGAGACAAGTTTTAGTAGGAGGAATCAGGAAGCCAGGTGAAAGAGGTTCAAAGAGATGAAAGAGGACATGGGATGTTTGTAATTACAACAGTAAAAAATATGCCACGGTGTCCAGACTTTGTGCCATTGTCTTTGAAGGAAATGGCCTTCAGTTTAACAACTGATTTAAAGCTCTGCACATACACACATAACCTGCATTTTCAGAAGTATATAACTGTTACTTTAGTCCTGTTCCTAATGACAGGTATTCGTGCCACAAAAAGAAGACTTTTACTTAGGTGTTTGTTTTGGTTTCTCCAACTTAAAGAATTCATGGGGTCTCAGTTGCCTTCTCATGTGTACTTACAGAACCTACAAATTACTTCTCAACCATGTTGGTAGGGCAGCCAAAGAACGTGCACTTCCTTACTTCCTCTACTATACTTAGCAGGGTACAGAGTTCTGCTGTTTTCTTTTGCACGAGTCTGGAACATTTCTTGAACTCAGTTTATATGACTTAAAATAATAATTAAAAACCATCTACAGTATCTTCACATCCTCATAATAATTCCATCATTAAATTCAGTCTTCAAAGATAAACGAGGGAGTGCACTTTTTTGGAGTTTGCTCCTCCATGGATTTCATGCAGTTGCATCTTGGCTTTAATTTTGCTTGAGATATGATCAGTTGCTTAAAAAAAAAAATCTGTCTATCTTGATGATTTTCTTTCTGCTTGCCCTTTGCCCAGTGAAACAGATAGAATTTAGACAAAAGAAATGTCTTCATTTAGGTGTTGGAAAATCAGATGAAGAAAGATCTTGCAGATAAGGAAGCACTTGAGAATATGCTCAGAAGACATGAAGAAGAAGCGCGTGAGAAATGTAAAGTCCTGGCTGAACAGAAGGCGGTATGTGTATTTGAATTGGAAATCAAAGCATTTGAAGAGTAGCTTTCTGAGGCTCTGATTTCAAGCAAGATAATCTTGTTTGAGGTTTTGTAGTGGTGATGAGCTGCTTTGAAGGAAATCCACTGATTAATATTAATTTTTAAAGACATATTTTTTTTTAATTCAAGGTTTGTTCAAGAATATTTCCTTCAAAGTAGCCATGTGAATTGCTGTGTAGTGATTGCTTTTGTGTGTCGGTAATAGAATGGTTGCTTTCTCCTAATATTGAAGCAGTAGAAAGCAGCTGTACATAGCTCCAGTAATTGCACCTCTGGTGCTCTTTTGGCCATTTGATAAGTTTTCTTTTTCTTCTTTTTGTTTCTGGAAAAAGTTCAGACTTCTTTTAAACATTGTTTTTATGAATCCTTGTGTTGGGCAGTCTCAAAGGCACATTGCTCTGTTTCAGATGATTAATGCAATGGATTCGAAGATTCGGTCACTGGAGCAGAGAATAGTGGAACTGTCTGAGGCCAATAAACTGGCAGCAAACAGCAGCCTTTTTACCCAGAGGAACATGTAAGTAGAGCAACTGCAATCATACTGGGCACTACTGAGCAGTTCTCAGCAAGATGATCTTAAAGGTCTTTTCCAAACTAAATGATTCTGTGATACTTACTGTAAAAGTGGTTCTTTTTTGCAGGATTTGCTATGCTCCCTGCTTGTTTTTCAGTGATGCAAAAATACACTTGCTATTCAAAGAGTTGTTGTTCACTCTGTATTTTGTGTTTCCTCAAACATGACTAGGGAAGTTGGTTTGTATTTTCATGTTTATTTCGGAGCCTTCCCTAAGGCTGGTGCTTTTGTGAAGGTTTATCAAGCATGTTAAATGAATACTAATAATTTTAATGTCTAACATACCTTTGGAGAAGCATATATTCCTCTTTTAAACATACATATTGCTAATAGATTTAGATTTGCTTTCTTGGCTCCTGTGACAGTTACATGATGTTGAAACTGAAAATATTAAACACCTTTATTTCACAAACACAAACATCCTGCCCTGTGGGGTGAGAAGACAAGTAAGAAAACAAGAGGGTTTTTTCATGTTTTTCTATTGCTCATTGCAAGAGCGAGATATTTTGTTACTGAAATGGGCAGGAGTAATGTGAAGTAGGAGATATCCCAGCTTCAGCTTCAGAACAATACTTCAATTCATTTTGTTCTCTTCCAAGCCCAGGTAGCACTTGCTCATCTCTCAGTTGCCTTCTCAGCTTCAGCCTCTCTTTAATTCTTTTCACTGACTGGTGTAACAGCCAGTTCAGTGGTTTTGGGGTATAATACTGGTCAAGATCATCTGTCAAGTTAAATCACTGTGTAATCAGCAATTGTTCTTGTGAATCCTTATTTATTAAACACAGAGGAAATCTTCTGTGTCAGATCTTTTTGTTTGCCTGAACTTTATTTTGCTGTGGACTTCAGCTGAGATTTCTTGTCCTTAAAATGATGTTTTTCCTTCATAAATGACTTGAAGGCATTCTACTTCAAGTATAGGAAACAGCATGGATTAATTAATGTGTCTTACAAATCAGGCTAAAGTAGTATATGCTCTTACTGAGTTAAGAGGTTCATCAACTTTGGTTGCCTGATGAAAGGCTTGCAGTGTCCATCAGCTGCTGGAATGTCAGGTAGTGTCTCTGTGGGAAATGCTTGGATAGATTCATCTATAACATTGAATAGAACCAAGCAAGGATGAATTTTGGCAGAGAGTTGCTTCAGTTTTCTTCCTTTCCAGTGGTGATTATGCCTCCAGATATGTAATGGCTCCAATTTTGTTGTATTTCAACTGTCTGGCAAGTTATGAGCAGCCAAAGCCTGAGCAGCCAAAAATATTCACAGAAATAACAGAGAAATTTAATTGTGTTGCTTTATGCTCCAGATGACCTCCGGTTAATCACCCAGAAAGTTTGTTGAGGCAGCAAAAGCCGTAACTTCAGTCTGAAATAAAACAGAAGTTGTCTCAACATGTACCTGGGAAGCACACTCGGAGTCTAGTGTCCCAGTCATTGGTGCTGAACTGTGTGTAAGAACTTAGCTGAGGTAGGTGCATCCTCTGAGAGTAGGGCACCTGACTGAAGATCCATAGAAAACAAGAAAAAAAAAAACTCATAACGTTTTAGCATATGGCTTAGAACAGAATATTGAGAAGACATATTGTCAAGGAATGTAATTTTGCAGGATTGGTGGAAGGTAGTACAGAAGTAACAACATTTCAAGAGAAAATTGCTTTATTATGTATGCAGATAGCTAATGAATTTGTGCTTATTTTGCGAATTGTGGTGGAGAATATATATAAACCTGTTGTTGGACTGTAATCCACAAAAGCTACAGCTAATCTGAGCATGTTTGAAGAGGAGAACTAATGATTAAGCCCTTTGGAGGAGAGGGGAACTGTTAGCTCTTGTTCCATCAGGATCCGAGGAAACTAATGATTATCAGGTTCCTGAGAAGACAGCCCAATAAACAGCAGGAAGTGAAGTAATGCCATTTGGCAGTTCTGGCTGGCAACAATCTGTAGAGGTGAATTAAAAACAGAGAAAGGTTGAAAGGATGGTTTTCATGTGATGCGCAGAAACGTGAGTCAGAAAACTGAAGTTCTATTATTAGTTTTGTTAAGTCTTCCTATTTGATCTTGGGCAACCCACATAATTTCTCTGGGATAGGATTAATAACAGCTTAGCTCACAGTGAACTTCTTAAAATATTAATTCATTAATATATGTAGATCTTTGTGAGACTTCTAAGAAAGCACACAGGCAGAACTTTCCAATGCTTGATAAAATGATTCCAGGAATTGTAAATAATGAAGAAAGACCTTTGCTTCCTTCTTGTTTTTTCTTTTTTAAATGTTTTTATGAGGATATCCATTCAAATTCTTATGGTAGTAATTAATTATTGCCAGATCTCAAAGTTCTTATGAGAACAAGCAATTTTTTTTGATTGCTCTGTAGTCTGAGACTTTGATCAGAGACAATGAAACTTCACTTCAGTGTAGGTCAAGTTCTAGGTCAATTACAACTTCAAAAATACCCCAACAAAACAACCTACAACACACTACCCTCTCCTCAACCCCTAAGCCATAGTGGTTCTCTTATCTCAAGGAAATACATCGTATGACAGCAATTGCTCTTAGCGTCTTTTTTTTTCCTGTACAGAAAGACACGTAACAAGGAATTGGTGAAATCTGAACTGTATTAATACAACAGTATTGTTGCAGATTGCTCTGTGGCACATTAACTTTCAGACAAGGCATTTAGTGCTCTGGGGATATGTTGGTGAATGCACTGGTACATGGATCTCTTGCAGACAGGAATAAAGGGTTGCCTTTCATTTCTTTTTTTCTTTTAGTTGGGATGTAAAATTTAAGCTAAGAACTTCACTATTCCATTTTATAGGAAACTTGTAGTATATGCTTGCTTACTTCACCCCAGTGAACAGGACATATGTTAAGGACATTTTGGGTTTGTCACTTGTGCTTTTCTCCTATCAGGAAAGCCCAAGAAGAGATGATTTCAGAGCTCAGGCAACAGAAGTTCTACTTGGAAACACAGGCTGGAAAGTTAGAGGCCCAGAATCGAAAACTAGAGGAACAATTGGAGAAGATGAGTCACCAGGATCACACTGACAAGAACCGCCTGCTGGAGTTAGAGACAAGGCTGCGAGAGGTGAAAACTTGGCTTTAACCCTTCCAAACACACTTACTTGGATGCACCCCATTTTGAGCATCATAGTGAGAACTAGCATTAAGTTGGTTTAGTTCTGTGTGTCATAAAAAATGGTATTCTAAGGTGTAATTAAAACCATAATTTTAAAATGGCTCATTAAAAGGAGATAAAAGTAAGTACGAAGGATTTGTCATTCTTAGATGTAACAAAATCTGAGCCTTTAGATCATCTTTTCTCTGAACCATGTTTATGGTTTGCTTTACAATATCCTTATAAAGTTATTCAGCTAGAGTGGTTATGGGGTAAAGTGAAAAAGCTATGTGCAATGACCAGCATAACCGTAGAATCTACAGAACAGAAAGCAAAGACCAGAATTGCTATGAGAAAATAGTAGACCTGTTGATTCACACACATTTTTCAGAAGTTTTCTGGAAAGAAAGCCTAACAGTAATATGAAAATAGGATTTTTTTAAAAAGATTTGTGAGCTGTGCTTCAGTTTTAGGTTTGTATCAGCTAGTCTGGATTCACTTCACATCTTTTATCTTCTCCAGTCTCAGGCCACTGATTTTCAGCTAAGACTGAAAGCTTGCCTTTAGCTAAGAGGGTTGGACAACCAACACATGTCCTTATTTGACCAGAAGTTGGTTTGGACCAGTATAAGATTTGTGGCAGGCTTGTCACGCATCTACAGCACAATAGATTCACTTGAGACAGCAGACAGCCTGAAGAAGGTGCTATGGTTTGGAATTGATTTTGAGCACTGAGATCCATTCTGTTGCTTGTTTGTTACTTATCCATTTCTGGAAATGACAAGTTTATCCCTGAGTATGCCTCAAGAAAACCTTCAACTGAAGCCATTCACATAACCCCAGAGCCAGATGATCTGGTTGGTTTCTTTAAAAATAATCTGAAAGGAAAATGAAATATGAAAGTCAGTTGCAAAATGTATGTAATGTTTACATACATGTAAAGATAAGTCTTGATGTTTATGCCTAAAGTTTCTCAAATAAAGATTCTTAAAGAGTCTCAATTTCAGTGAAGCAAATTCATCACAAGCTACTTCAACGTTTATGCTTTTTATATCAGTGTTTGGTATGCGCTATTTGAGTCACAGCTGGAACTATTCTTGTGCCCTTGTTGTTGTTGTTTCAAAATGCCAGGTTGCTTTTAACCTTTTTCAAAACAAACTGGTAGTTTCTAGGTAGACAGAACTGCCTTGACTTAAGCAATCTGTCAATATTTGGGATAGACATGGCAATGGCATCTGAAAGTGAGGTCTGAAATGAAATGACATTGCCTGTATTTTATATTTGGTTGCTACCTTTTTTTTCCTCCAGGTTAGCCTAGAGCATGAAGAGCAAAAGCTGGAGCTCAAAAGGCAGTTGACAGAACTGCAGCTGACACTCCAGGAGAGGGAATCTCAAATCACTGGGCTGCAGGCTGCACGGACAGCCCTGGAGAACCAGCTCCGTGAGGCCAAAACTGAGCTAGAGGAGACCACAGCTGAGGCAGAGGAAGAGATTCAAGCTCTCACGGTGAGCCCTAAAATCTCTGCCATGAGCTATATATACAGATCAGAATTACATAGGTGCACATTTCATAAAGGGGTTAAAATGAAGTTATACTATTTAATTTTTAATTTTCAGAACAGGATGCAGACTGTGCCTTGTGTTGATAGGAGCAGAAATGGCTAAGGAGTCAGATTTTGTCTTAATATCTTTAACGACACGAATGCTTCCTAGTAGTGGCTCATTGCTGCCAAAACTGTTTGTAAGAGTGTTACTGCTTTTGCGATGAGGTGGAAGTTGCATATGAAATTGTTATTGTTAGGAGGTTTACCCTGTGATTTACTTGCTTAAATAATAGCTCATGAATTTGAAACTACCTGGTGATCAGAAATATTTTAATGTTGTTTTTTTCTATCAGTTACCCTGCTTTGAGTATACTTATTCAGGGGGGATCAAACAAATTCCTAGAAAAATAGTGCTGTTAGAACATAATTTTATTCCAATGCGTATTTCATTACAAATTGTCTTGTGTGTCTGAAGTCTCTGGTGAGGTCTGTGAATGGTATAAGCGAAAAAGAAGTTCAATTTCTACCTCTCCCTTCCCCTTTCATCCCCTGTAAATGCAGTTTTAAATTGCATGCTGCTGGTTGCTGTCTCTTGAGGACAAACAGATGCTTTCAAACGGCTTGATTCAAAGAAATGTTTCCTTCATAAAAGTTTCCTGGGGCTGTGGAGAGATAGAGCAGAGAGGTAGATGACCTGATACCAGCTAACTCCCATTGAGCAGCAGTCTTTAATGACCTTCAAATCTGTGTGTTTTAAAGTGTTGAAAATGTGCATTCTCTTGCTCCAGTGGCATTTGACCAAAGAACTATTCAGAATATCTCTGCCATTGCTATTTTTTGGAAGGGGTGGTGGGCTCAGCTGAGATAGGTGCTTGTGTTATGGTGATGCTTTGGGTACATGAATGGGAGAATTGCTCATTCCAAGTTGTTCTAAAGCGGGTACATGCTGGCAAAGTACAAGCAACACTGTCAAGGCGTGAGAGGGACTGAATAGAACATGGCATCAGTTTCTTTTTTGCTCAAAACTGAGATGATACCTCCCAGCTGGAAGCTTTGTATAACACCTAATATCACTGCCAATGGGATGGCAACGTGCTTGGTATCTTTACCCTGTACCACCAGGGAAACAGCTGAATAATTATGTCCTATGTTCACTCAGTTATTTGGCAAAATGGTAGTGCTTTTGGACCAGCTGCTGTAAGACAGTCCAGTTGGTGGGCTTGGGAGTATTTCTATAATGGATTTTTTAATGTACTACTCTTATTTTTCACATTGCCTCTTGTGGTAAGATAGCTTTTCAGCTTTCATGTCTGACTTCTGCTGAATGGGTTTTCCTGTTTAGTCTCTTGGCTCTAAGGAAAATATTCTAAATGAAGAAAGGTGGCTGGATGTGCCAGTGTGCTAACCTTTCATTTGTGAAGTTTTCCAATAGCATATGCCATTAGACACGTGTTAAATCAGTTTGATGAATTTTGAGAGAGGCCAGGAGGCTGAAACAAGAACTTTTGCTTTATCATGCTTTGCTTGTGAATCAGGAGGTAAAATGGTGCATGGCAGTGCTGCATTCTTTAAAATGAGTGTTTGCGCTTGTCCACATTCCGGGTGCTATCTTCCAAAAACTGATTATTGTGTTTCATCACTGCTTTTTAGAGAGGCTCAGGATGAAATGGTACGTTCTGGTAGGATTCAGGGAGATTGGCAGAGATGTTTGGGATAGCTTGCATAATGCTTCATGGTAATTTCTCTTTTCAAGCATTAAATTGTATTCAGCATTTACTTTATATGAAATAACCAGTCTGGATATGGAAGTAAAACCAACTCAAATTGAAATGTCGAGAATGTACAAAGTTGCCATGGAATTGACATGTCTTCTGGTGACCATTTCAGATGAAACCTTTTACATAATTCAGTTCTTGAGTTTGTACATTTTTCTGAAGTGAATCAGAGCTGGGTCCACAAGCATATTTTAAGTAGGATGTGACTTTTGCTTTTGCCACTACAGAGTGCTTTCATAGCCTGCAGCATCTGCCTTCCAAACTTTGCTTGCTGATAGGTTGTTCTTCAGTTTGTTTAGCAACAGCTGTTGGATTCAAATTCTAATGTATGAAAAATTGATGATTAACTTCTTACCTCCTTTAGGCACATAGAGATGAAATCCAGCGTAAATTTGAAGCCCTTCGTAATAGCTGCACAGTGAGTATTAAATACAGATCATTGAATTATTTTGAAAGTAAGGATAAGGAAACAAACAATTTAATTAATTAATCCTTGATGACACTAGTTCCTAATGTGGACTTCTGGCTTCAAGGTATTAGTAGGAGCTAGATGGATTGGACTTGATTTCTTTTGGGTTTCAGGTAGACCTCAATTTTGAGGTTATAGTCTGATCATGAAATTGATACTATTCTTCTGTTTGGAGAAGAAAGTAAATTAAAATATCTCATTGCAGTGCAGCTAGTAAGAATGGTGTATCAGCTGCAAAAAAAAAACATTGTAGGTGAAGACCTTTTCTACTCCCAAGAAGAAAAGATCTACCTGTCCAAATCCTGAGCTGCACTGTAGATCTAGGCCACAGTGGAAGAGCCTTCATGCTGCTCTGGGTTTTAAGGAGGACTCTAATACTGTTTGAAGAGGCAAGAAATGTAGTGGTTCCAAATAATACATTGCCATACAATCATCTGCTCAAAGAGCAGAGAAGATTTTAGGACCTTAATTTGCACCTTCTATTGCTTGAGATCTTTTGACATGTTTTTAGATTCATTTCATCAATCCAAGACAGGTGTCAGAAGGTTTGTCTATTGATAGGGATTCTTGCATATTTAACATTACCTTCAAATGTGTTTATGATGGTTGATAGAGAACATTGATGGAGCACATCTTCCAGTGATGTGAATTACAGAAGGGTTGAAGAAGGACCACAGCCTTCTGGGTCAGCACTGACTGCCAGCTTTTCTGCACGTTTTCTCTTTACCCCACCTTGTAAGCAGGGCTTAAAGTCTGGGTTTTTTTTATCTTGATTGCTTCCCTACTTCCAGCGGTTTCCTCAAACTTCCATTTCTCATGCTGTTGGACTGAGGAAGGTACAAGTTTTCATCTTTCCAAAGTATCTTTTCAGGATGAGAGTTACTGTCTTTTCCTTGGTTGCTTTTCAGCTCTAAGCAAGGGGATGCTTCTGTTCTGTTCATAGAATATACTGATATGAAGAAATGAAGATGTAGAGCTTGCCAAAATGGTTAACCTCTATTTAGAAGAAATCCTGTACAAGAAGCTTTACTTTCTGTTCCCTTCTTCTTTTATATAGCTTGAACCTCTAGTTCCATATGTGTTATCATCTATCTTACATCCATAGCTATCTTCTTCCGTTCTATCTTGCCCCTCATACAGAATGACAGCTTTCTATGAAAATTCTTATGTGATCTCCATGCAGGCAAAAACCAGCTGTGGAAAATCTGTAGCTTCTTTTCACTGCATGGTAAGCTGCCTTTCCCAGGTTGTCACTCATTCTCTAGTAACACTCTGGCTCCCTAAATGTGGTGAACAATCTCCAGCAGTGGAGGGTGACCCACAATGTTTCAAGAATGTTTGAGCTCTTCAAAGGCTCTGCATAAAAGGATTTCTAAGTGTTGTGCATTGTAAGGCCCTTCAGTGAGATAAGTGGGATTAGACATCCTCATCAATAAGGAATTAATTAAATAGTTCCTAAATGAATAATACATGCTCATCATACATTCTCTTTCCAGGCCAGGAGAATGCATGTATAATTTAATGGACCATGGACAGGAACTTTCTTGTTATGAGTAGTTCTAGCTGTCCATCCTGTCTACTGAGGAGCATGGGGAGAAAATACAGGACAATCCCTGTACTGACAGTGGGGTATCAGGCAATGTTTATGATGGTGCCTTCACCTTCATTTTTATCTGATTTTGTCCACTATGGTGCAGGCTTTGCTTTTTGGCAATCATGTGAATTCTACTTGAAGGTGATTAGAATATACACTCCTTTTAAAATAACACTTCAAGGGAATGATTGTAACATGCTGCTACTTATGCAGCATGATAATGAGTGGGTTTGTTCTTTTAGCAAGTATTCAAAATATATCCTTTTTAAGCTGAAACAAACTCCTTGACCCAGTCTGTCAAACTTTGGGGTGGAATTGTTGTTTATTTAATCTTACTGAGAAGCCCAAAACAGCAGCAGAATTAGGAAAATAAGATTAGGCTGGAGGGGAGGATATGAAAGGTTGAATTACTTCAGTACTTCTGTAGTATTCAAAAGGTAACTAAAAACACTTTGTCTGCTTTCTTTGGGATTTCTTCCATTTCTCCAGCTTCACCAAGCTCACAGCTTCCAACTGTAGAGAAGGCTTACCCTCCAATATGTCTGCTTTCCTTATATCCTCATTGCACTCTTGTTCTTCCTTTTGCTGAGGTCTCTGACCAAGTACACATTTTTGGCTTCTCTTATTTCAAACTTGCTGTGCTTTGGGGTGCTCACAGAGACCATTGCTGTATCGTTGGTCGCAGTTTCTGCCTTGTTTGTGAATTTATTAGTCAGTTGTTCTTATTGCTCTGCATTGTTTCATCTTGTGACATCTCTTACTGTTGGGTGTCAGATGAAATTGCCAGCATTTGCTTTCTCTGTCTTGCAATTGTTCAAGAAATAATAGGCTACGTAATTACAATAAAAACTGTAAGCTGTGGTACCTGCTGTACACACACACAGATGCATGTGGGCACACACAGGGAGCATTATTTTATCTTAATCTTCTCACAGTGAGAGCTCATCCAGCAAATATATTGAGGGAGGAGGACTAGTTCCCTCCATTTAAAGAATTATTCTATCAAAAATATGATGCATTTGAGTGTTAAATGTGTTTTGCAGGCAATCAGAAACAGACCTAGAAATAAAAAGCTTTTTCTTAAATAGGAAAATTAACGTATTTGTCAGTTGTTGCCAACTGCCTGTTCATTATGGCTTGTTGTTTTTTTTCATCAAAGCATTTGAAGTTAAAAATACAACTGTTATCTAAATAATGGTAGAGTTGTTGCAAAAAGAAAACATGCAGTAAGCAGATGTTGAAGGCTATAAATAATAATAAGAAAAGAATCCTATAAGGTACTTATACTCAGCTAAGTAAATACTATTGCTATGCCAAAGGACCACCATCTGAATCTTCTAGGGTTATTTTCAGGTACATACTGTTGCTTTTACTCTAGCAAGGAGAATGACATTTCTTAATACTAATTGGATATTGCATTTCCATTTACTCAAGTTTTCTCCAATAAGACAAGGTTTATATTCCTCCTTGAGGTTCTTTTGTCATCTTGTGTTCCTATTTTAACTGTTAATAGGCTCGGTTCTGTACTTGACTAAGAGTTTGGATATTGAGGCATTAAATCTGGAAGCCCATTAAGGCACATGTACAATTTTAGTTATGCATAAAGTCCTGCTGACTTTGGTCTAAGATCTTGATTCCACATTGGTGCAGTGACTTGGCATACAAGAATAATCTGTGGGTTTGAGAACTTCCAAAATTATGTCTAAAGGTGTTACATACTTAGGTGCTAAATTATCTTTCAGAGCAAGGGAATATTGTCTGCTGTAACAAGGCTAACACCCAGGCAAAAACTTTCACGTGGCTTTATTAAATTTGTAAAAAAAGAGAAACAAAAATTGTCTGTTTCGTGGGAGGGATATTCCCGATTCTTATTTCACAGAAAATGTGATGGCAGATGCCAGTTACAGGCAAACCTTGAGCTTTTGTAGCCTGACACTTCCAGGTTGTTGATGAGGTGTTGCTGTGAAAGAGGCTGATGTCCATCAGCTGATGGGCAATGATATCATCATCACTTGAGGATGAGGCTTATGGTGGGTAGATGCAGGTCCTGTTCTGGGAGCTAGGATAGAGGTCGGTGTGGGAAGGAGAGGAATGCAGACTGCGTAATGTCCTACTACCTCTGCAGCTACTAACGAGAGCAATGTCCCTCAAGCTAAGCCCTAGTGAGTTTTTGGAGACTGAGATCTTGATGTAAGTTATGTTTCAAGTCACAGATGATGTCTGACTATGGCAAGGGGAAGAAAGCAAGGGGTTCACTGTTATGTATTAGTCAAACAGCTGGGGATACAAGACTGGTATCTATCTGCAGCTGTGTTTGTTAAGAGGCTTCGTATTCTGCTCCATTGCAATGCTTGATATTTCTGTGCTAGAAAAGCTTTGTCTCTTGGATCCAAATGTGAGTAGGTTAAGATGAAGTGAGTCTGATGCCCGCTCTTGCTTCCTCCTCACAGTAATTGGAGGCTCAGAGATACTTTTTCTCTACTACCTTCTGACAGTTAGCTTTCTGGTAATGATTAGTGGGGATGGGGAGGAGTGGAAATGGATAGAGTAAAACGATGTCTGGAGGTTCTGAATTAAGGCTCTATGAAAAATTACATTAAGCTCCAAATATACAGTGCTGAGACCATCCTGAAACAGTTTATGTTGCTGTGTCCTAGCATTTTCCCACATGTTTGCTGGTGGCATGTGGGAATGATGGCATTTTCATGAAGGAATAAGGTTATGGAGAAGCTTGCAAGATGAAGTTAGTAGTATTCTTTAGAATACTACTGCTTCTTTTTTCTCCTTTCCCTCATTATTTTGCCTATGGTTTTGATATGTAGAGCATATGGGTCAAGTTTTGTACCTGTGCAAACCTAATCACCAAGGCCCTGAACTGCTTATACTATGATATTTAATTTGTGATCCGTGTCTGGAGAAGTTTGTAGGGCCAGGTATAATAGCTGTGGATCTGCAGGATCTCACAGTACAGAAATTTGCTTTGTTGAAACCATGCAATGCGTAGGGAATTCTGCTGAGTATGGTCACTTTTGCTGAAGAGCTGTTATGCTTGGGTTGTGCTCTGTAATATTTAAAAAAGAGATTCAGTCTTCTGTATCAGTATAAAGATCAGGTTTGTGCTTAGATGTGACATGTAGTGAGCAGTCTGCCAAGATGAGCCTGGTGTAGTTAGATTATATCTCTGTTTTATGGATTAGTTATGATGAAGATGTGCATAGATGGAAGGGAAAATTTCAGTTGCTCTGTGGGTGATGATACAGTGGCACCGCTACAGTGGCTGCCTACCTTGTCTGGAATTGCCTTTCCAAACTTTCAACTGTTTGCTTGTTTTATAAACTTTAAATGTGAAGATTTTTGTAATTATATCATGGGTTTCTAAAGGATAAAATAGTGTTTTCTTACAGACTTTCCTGTAATATACTTCTCATTTAACTCCAGAATAGCTCAGGGTTGGTTGGTTGGTTGATTTGTTTGTTTTTTTTTTGCCTGGGGATTTCCTTAATTGAAAAGAAAAATATCCAAAGCTATTAACATTTTTCAGATGCAGGATTCTGACATAGGTTTAATGTATGTATGTATGCCCAAGACAACATTTCCTATCAAAAGATCTGTGTTTTCTTTCTTCTTGGTTCCCAGGACAGGCATTTATATCACACCATGTCCCGTTTTCCTGTGTCAGTATTACCCATTACTATTTAGGCTTCAAAGGTTTATAAACTCTGTAACCCTGTTGGGTCATATGTAGCTGCAGAAAGCTTTTAAAAATTGAATTAGTTAACAAAATTCCATTTTCCCTATGTAAGGAAGGGAAAAAGAAGAACAAATTTTCTCAAAATTCAGATCTATCAATCTATACAGATTCCATAAGGTAGGTTATAATACATATGGAATTTAAGCCAAGCCGTTTTGGAATTGTCAATAAATAGGAAAATATTCAAGAACGGAGATCACATAACTTCTTCTGGAGCTCCTCTTTCTTAACTGCTTTGTTATTTGTCTTCAGTTTTCTAGAAATCTCCTAATAGATAAAATATAAAATGATCTGGTTTAATTTTAGTTCTATTCAGGGAAAGAAACCAAAATCTCAGAACCAAGAATAAAGGCAAATGGGAGCTTAACTTCCAGCCCTTAAGGGTTGAAATCACCTTGAAATACAGCCAGGTTTAAAGATTCATTAAGTAGTTTCCGTATTACTCTGCATGTCACCTTATCCATTTTGTTTCCCCCGTCTCTGCTTTCTTTTTGTATTTCAAAACTAGATTAAGAAATTTTGTGTAGCAAGCACTTGTATTACTAGATGAAATGTACATGGAAGAAGCCATGGATGTATAAAATAGATCTTAAAGCTGCCTCGATACATGGTGGGGTTAGACACAAAAACAAGGAGAAGAGAAAGAGAGATTATCCTATGTGGCAGTAGAAATCTCAGATGTTATTTCTAAGAATGGTAGGTAAAACACTGTAAAAACAAATGTCCCTTTGTTCCTTTTTTTGTATAAATATGTTTCTAAGCTCTTATCCCCACAGCAGTACAGATACTAACACATCCTTGTGACAGAGTCTGTGTTCTTTGCAAACTTGATGCATACAAGAGCAAAATGTGTATTTTGAGTAGGACAGGAAAAGTGCTCAAGGAACAACCACATGATGAGTTTTTCATTAGAACTGTTGTGTTTTGTAATATGAATCATTTTGATTTGACCCTGAACATATGGGTAGCAGGAACTCCCCTTCACCCACCAGAGAGTAATGTCAGTTGGACTTTTTCTGCTTGCAGTTTAAAAACCAAATGCTGTTAATTTCGATCTAGGAGAGGCATGGTAAAAGGCTGCCAAATATGCATTACAGATTCTTCAAAAATAAATGGTTGTCATCTTTCCAGATAGCTGAGAAGAGCTGTATGCTCTGTGCTCTACTGCTTTAGATATTTAAGTCCTTGGCTTGTGTAGGAAATTGGAACATTTCAATTCGAATGTGTGGCCAACTGTGCTCTGGGATTTTAATGTTTCCCATTTAATGAAGTATTCACTTTTCTTTGACATCTAGGCAAAAAATGCCTCTAGAACTTGTTAGAATTGAATATGAATTGTAAAGAATTACCAGTTTCAGAAATTCTTTTCATTAAGCTGAGTGCAAGATTACACTGAGGCTTCTTTCTCTTCTGTTGTGATGATGTTAGTTTTGAGTTAGGAGGAGGTCCAGGTGTTCATCCAGCCTGTATTTATGGCCTTTCATTCATACACATTAAATGGGACTGTGAAAATGGCCAATTGTTCATATTTTTCATTAAATTGAAGGGGAATGTGGTTTAAAACATCTAGTGTAATGCCATTCTGACTGAACTTGCACTTCCTGAAAGGCAAGGCTCTTGTCCTTGTTGAGTTTTCGCTTTTCCCTGATTTTCTGTTAGTCTGCTGTGTTGCCACACTTTTTTCATTCTTCGTATATCCCCTGCTGCCATCCATAATGCTGTTGCCGTGATAGAAGATCTTTCTTAAGATTTGTCTGCTTTTTCTGGTTACATACGGTGTTCCATATAGGAATACAAGCACTTGCTAGGGAGGTTCCTCAAATTGCAGTGCCTCCATTGCGCTGCTTGCTCGGTTTTCTTAAACGTCACTCTTCAGAAGCCTCTCTGAGAGGTATTAACCTCATTCCACTTGATGGGAAATTGAGGCAAAACAAGGTGAAGTGTTTTGGCAAAGGCACATCTGAGACTACAACCAGAACTCCTGACTCCCAGACCAGCGCTTTAGATGTGACAGTTCTCTCTCAAATAATAAATTGCAGTGCAGCATGTTTATACTCTAAACCAGATTTAGCCCAAGCTCTTTTCTGTAAGAAACAAGAGTCTATTCCTAATCAAAGTACACTCCTGTGCATAAAACCTACCTTGACAGTATTGGTTTTGTTTAGATTAGGGACAATTTCATAGCCAGGTTGTCTCCTTGCTTGGCAGTGAGTGGTTGTGTGAGAGGAGAACACTTTTCCACTAAACTCTACTCGCTGACATGTAATTGGATTTCTTGTTTGTTCTAGGTGATCACAGATCTGGAGGAGCAGCTGAACCAGCTCAGTGAAGACAACGCAGAACTGAACAATCAGAATTTCTTCCTATCCAAACAACTTGATGAGGCCTCAGGGGCCAATGATGAGGTTGTCCAGTTGCGAAGTGAAGTGGACCATCTCCGTCGAGAGATCACTGAGAGAGAGATGCAGCTTACCAGTCAGAAACAAGTAAGGCTTTACAAGTCTGGGTCACAATCTCGTTGTGATAGCTAGCTGATGACCTGAAAGGCAAAGAAACTCTTCTCAATCTGGAAATCTAGCAGGAATGAATATTCTTCCAGGGGTAACAGTATTTAAGCCTTTCTTACTGGAGCAGTTGAGTGACTGGGAAGTTTTGGTATTCCTTATTGTATTTTTATGCACTTTTATTTAGAAATTTTGCACTCTGGAGGTGTTTTCATTTAGAATTATTCCTTTTAATTTTGTGACCCTGGAAATGTCGAAGTTTACCTAATGAGATAGAACTGACATTAAGGCACTCACAAGTGAATGTATGGAAGCCTTGAAATAAATGGGTTGTGATTTACCAGCTTATGTTTGCTGCCAATTTGCATGTACTGTAATTTAAATGGTAAGGCTGAAGCTTAAAGTGCACGCTTGATGTGGGATGTGAGAATTGATAGGAGGATTTATTTTTAGACTATGGAGGCCTTGAAGACAACATGTACAATGCTGGAAGAGCAAGTAATGGACCTGGAGGCCCTGAATGATGAACTCTTGGAGAAAGAGCGTCAGTGGGAAGCATGGAGAAATGTTCTAGGGGATGAGAAGTCCCAGTTTGAATGTCGAGTTAGAGAGTTGCAGAGGATGCTGGATACTGAGAAACAGAGCAGGTCTCTCTCCCCTCCTCCCCTTTTATTAACTTTTATGAAAATGCTCGATAGAAGCTAGTACAAAAATTATATTTAGAATAAGATATGGGAGTTGGAACTAAATATAAAATCTTGTGAGGTAGTTCTAAAAATGGTTTATTAGTTAATAGTCTTTCACCAGTGATATTGTTCCTTTGGTTGCTTTGCAAGTGAGCGATTCGTGGGGAGTGGCATTTATCATTGTATTTTATAAAATGTCCTGGTTTATTATCTTTGACTTTATTATATGGAAAAATAGTGTTTGCTCCTAACTGTTCCTGTGGGGTCTTGACATTTTCAGGCTGTAGTTCTAGCAGGGCTGGAATGGGATTATATAATGTAAAAGTGTTGCAGCAAACAGCCTGGCTTTCTAAAGTAACATCTTGAATTTGAGGCAGCCCCCTGAAAAAGGTATTGCTGCCAGTGCACTAGGAAGAGTTCAGGCCCAGAAAGGGGTTAGGTAACATTATTTTCCATTTTAATACAGAGTGAGAGCAGATCAGCGTATTACTGAATCTCGCCAGGTGGTAGAACTAGCAGTCAAAGAACACAAGGCAGAGATTCTAGCCCTCCAGCAAGCACTGAAGGAACAAAAACTCAAAGCTGAAAGCCTTTCTGATAAGGTAAGTAACTTTCAGCCCTAGACATTATTAATCAGGTGAGACACTTTTCTAGAGATATTACTTGTAGAAAAGTGGCCTTGGGCAGCTTTTTCAAGATGTCAGAACAAATTAAAAAGACTGGAGGTCATAGAATAGAATTCTGTCTTCAAACCAAAGACCTCAGGTTTACTTTAGAAAATGACTGAAGCAAGAAAGCATCCTGTGATGCCTAGAGTGTACAGTGAAGTGCTTCAATAACTTGATACCTGCATTTGAGCAAGGGCATACCAAAATGCTGGTTGGTTGGGTTTCCCCCTTAGACCAAATACAGGATAATTGTATCATTTTTCTGTATGTGTTCTTGGTGAAGTTGGATTTTAAGATTGTGGAACACTGTTTGTTAGTGTTCAATATTTTTCTGACCATCTATCCCCCTGCCTAGCTCAATGACCTGGAGAAGAAGCATGCTATGTTGGAGATGAATGCACGCAGTTTGCAACAGAAGCTTGAGACAGAAAGGGAGCTCAAGCAGAGACTTCTGGAGGAGGTAACCTTGGAAATTCATGTTGTAACTTCAGAAGAAGGTTCCACATCTCAGCAGGGGGGCAGTTGTGAGAATAGCAGCGTTGCACATCCACCCTTTTTCTCTGTAACTGGAGAGATTAATAAACTGGGGGGTTGTTTTTACTTAAAACTTTGCAAAGTGCGTGGCCGTGCCATGGAGCAGTAAAAGTGAACTGCTCCTCAAGGGAAGGAATGCTGGGAGCAAAGGGAGACAGTGGGGCAAAGGCAGTGACCTTGCAGCCAGTGGGCACAGTCTCAAGTACCTGAATAAGAAGAGCAGAGCAGGTTTGGTGAAGGTAATCAGACTCAGCCAGCAGCCCAGGGATGATTGCAGCAGCCTGTAGTGATGAGGTGCATCACAGGTGAGATCTGCAAAGCAATGTCCATGCCCAGGTACAGCATTCCTACAACGTAGCTCTGATCACACCAGATGTGAGTACCATAGCTTAAAACCACCTTGGAGCCAGTGTGCTGAGGGAGCATGGGTGAAGGCCACTGGTAAGGCTTCTCAGAGCTCCTTATTCATAATATAGCTTAGTTCACAGAAGTCTGATCCAAGGTTACACAGCTGCACAGTATCAGTGAGATACTGAATGCAGGCAGCCAGACCTGGGTAGTGGGGGAAGAGGTTGCAGAGGAGGATTTCAGGGGAAGGGTGCTTACAGGTAATTAGGGTAATTAGAACCTTTTGGTGTACTTGTGGTACTGACAAGTCATCCCAGAGCTGAGAACCCCATTATGCATCGCAGTGAAATCATTCTAACTCTTGCTCCGTAACACATGTTAATGTTTTTCCTACTCGGAGACTTTCTTATCAAGAAAGTATAAAACCTTGCAGAATTAGGTGTAGTTTGTCATGTTTTAAATTAGATATAAGGCAGAAGCTCTTCTCTGTGAGGGTGCAGAGGTGCTGGCACAGGATGCCCAGAGAAGCGCTGGCTGCCCCATCCCTGGCAGTGTTCAAGGCCAGGTTGGACACAGGGGCTTGGAGCAAGCTGCTCTAGTGGAAGGTGTCCCTGCCAGTGCCAGGGGGTGGAGCTGGGTGAGATTTAAGGTTCCTTCCAACCCAAACCATTCTATAATTCTATGTGCCCTTTTCTGTTGTTAATTGGAGACAAATATGTAAGCAGTTGGACATTATTTTCCTTATCTCTTACGACTGTAGAGAAGGAGTTTATCCTGGTTTATAGGAAAGATTGTTTTACTTACAAAGTCTTGTGATGGCTTCTGGTGATTGTACAGAGCTTGAGAAAACAGCATCAAGAAATTCTTCCTGTATCTGCAGTCTTATTAGCAACTGCAAGATTTTAAATGCTTGAAAAAGCAAATAAAGCAAATGAACGTGCAGTTGAAAGAAGTGGTGTTGCTGCAGATTAAGATAAAATACATAGAAATACTTATTTAGTCCTAATGCCTTCTGAAAGGAAGGGAAACTTCTAGAATATTGTCACTTTCCAGCTTTTGAAGAATTGTCTGTTTACAGACATCTGAGATGTCACAAAGAGTGATAACATTCAATAGCTTTTAATTAAAACCAAGCAAAACACTGGCCTTTCTATTCCTGTTAACAGCAGGCAAAGCTGCAGCAGCAAATGGATCTGCAAAAAAATCACATCTTCCGCTTAACTCAAGGCCTGCAAGAGGCTCTAGATCGAGCAGATCTTCTGAAGACTGAAAGAAGTGACCTGGAATATCAGCTGGAAAACATTCAGGTGAGGGTGAAGGAACCGGAGCTGGACTCTGTGTGCCACATCCTAAAACCCTGCTCCCTGTTTCTGGGGTTTTGAAGGATGTGACCCACTTGTTTCTGTGTGACCTTTTCCTTACACTGTTTTTAGCTCTTCTGTTCTTATCTGTTTATTCTATTAAGATAGAATGTCTAATGTGTGTGTGGTTCCCAGGTTCTATATTCCCATGAAAAAGTGAAAATGGAGGGCACTATTTCCCAGCAAACCAAACTCATTGATTTCCTGCAAGCAAAGATGGACCAACCAGCAAAAAAGAAAAAGGTGGGTGAAAGAGATTGAAGAGGCACAGTGCAAAAGGGTGGTTTTGTGATTAGTTATGTATATTCATAATAGTGTTCTTTCTTTGTGTAACACAAATGTGCCCTCATTTAAGAGCATTCTGAGTTGCTGAATACAAGCTTTACTAGGCACAATGTGTTCTTTGTGGCTTTTCCAGTATTTTGTTATTCCTACAATACTTATGTTACAACCCAGTAGCTACAGCTCAGTGAGGCTGTAGGAATACAGAATTTTAGCCATGCTTTGTTTTTAATGGTAAGTATGTATGTGTGTATGAACACATCGTGTTTGTAGAGTGGTTGTCTTGTAGTTAGAGCATAGGATTGATTAGTCAGGTGATGTGACTTGTGTCACATCTTTGTCATGAGCCGTTCTGTCATTCTGATTTAAGTAATTTAATTTTAACTACGTATTTTGAGATCCTCTGTTTAGATGCTTTCGGAAACTCAAGGTGTGAGTGCTAACAGGTAATGTAAGTCCCTCTTTAAACTAATCCATATCTCAACATTTTCTTTCCAGTGCCAATATGAACTAAAAATCCATCCTTACGCATAACAATTGCCATTAGGCCCTCTGGCCGGACTGCCACTAGCTAGTTGCACTTTGCCTAGTTTAAGCCATCTCTTACTAGGAGTTAGGAGTTGTCTGTGTGTTTCTGTTGCTAGGGCCTGTTTAGTCGGCGGAAAGAGGACCCTTCTTTACCCACACAGGTTCCCCTGCAATACAATGAGCTGAAAGTGGCACTGGAGAAGGAGAAGGCTCGTTCTGCTGAGCTGGAAGAGGCTCTTCAGAAAACACGCATTGAACTCAGATCTGCTCGTGAAGAAGGTAGGGGTTAACAGAAAAGGTGGATCTGGAAGGAGGCGCACGTTTTTGGTCTGAAAACGTGCCTTTAATTGTGTATCACTCTAGCAGTAACATAAGTTGTTTAATTCTTGCCTACTGCTGTGAAGGTGCAATAAAGCTACGCTTTTATCTGCGGGTTGTAACCACTGAATGGTTACACAGAACCACTGCTATGAATGAGGGTTTCATACCAGTTGTGTTAACGAGTGGCATTTATCTCATCTATAGCTGCTCATCGGAAGATATCAGACCACCCTCATCCATCTACTCCAGCCACAGCCAGGCAGCAGATCATCATGTCTGCCATAGTCCGCTCACCAGAGCATCAGCCTACTCCCATCAGTTTGCTAGCTCCACCCTCCAGTCGCAGGAAGGAGTCTTCCACACCAGAGGGTAGGTTTTGGGGGAACTTTTCTATTACTGTTTTCCTGTGTCCTATTTCAATGCCATCTCTTTCGTTATTCTTCTTTATATTTTTTAGTTTCAGAACCAGATATTTTTCATGCTAGGAATATTAGATGATACTTTTTGCTTTATTTTTTGTTTTAAATTCTCTATTTGGACTATATGAGTTGTTTCTTCAGCAGTAATTATTATCAGCAACTGTTTAAAGAGCATGTGTTTCTTCAGAGGAGGATGTTTTCTGTACTGCTTTCTGCATTGATCAAAAGGATTCATAGCTGTTTCCTTAGCAGTCAACATTTTTACTTATCTAAACTGTTGATTTGTTCTTCTTAGCACAATGTTTCTATCAAGACCTTTTGGTAAAGGGAAAAGACTTTGGTTAGGCATACAAGGAAGATACCAGGTCAAAGACTATATTAATATCCCGTTAACTAGAAAAAAGGGATACCCTTTGGTGTTCTTGAGATAAAGGGGAGAAGGGTCATCACAAAAAGTTAAAGGACTGCTCAGCTATTCTTAGATAACCAATATTCCAGAGCGAGTGTTGAACCCTGGGAGTCGGAACTAAAACCTCCAGCCTTTATCTGGAAAAAGCCAGAACCCACAAACTGGAGCAGTGACTGCAGCCAGCTGAGGCACAGGGCACTGAGGATGGGTAACACTGACATGGGAAGATGTCCTCAGGGGCAGGTCATGGGCAGGGAAGAGAAACATGTTCACCAGTAAAAGACCATGCCTTGGAGGGTAGACTTTGCTTGGTAGAGATACACTAACAGGGATTGTAGGAATGCTTTAAGATCTGCTGGCACTGATGGTTGGCTGTATGAAGAAGGCCGGCTGTATGAAGAAGGCCTGCTGTGTGTTGATCACAACAGTATAGGTGTTGAAGAGTTTTAGCTCTAAGCAAAATTGAGAAATTAGTTTAGCACGTTGTGAGAACTGGAGCTGAGCGCAGACTTGAAATTTAGGTGGTTTGATTGACATAATCTTGCTACACCAAACATTAGCCACTTCAGTTCTACAGTCTGTGCTCAGGCAGCACGTTCTGTGCATCTGTATCAGGTCATTACTGAGGTGGTAATGTTGCTTAAGATTTACAGATTGCAAAGGGAAGGAGTGTCTGTGTTCAGCAGAGGTTTGATAGAGACATGCAGTCCTTTTTTATTACCTTGGCCTTAAAATGCCAAAATCTACTCTTGATTTTCATCCCTATCACAGTGCTCATCCTGATAATAAATCCTGTCCTTTCCAGAGTACAGCCGGCGCCTGAAGGAACGGATGCATCACAATATCCCACATCGCTTCAATGTGGGGCTAAACATGAGAGCGACGAAATGCGCCGTGTGTCTGGATACAGTGCACTTTGGAAGACAAGCATCTAAATGTCTTGGTAAGAGCAGAGCGTGTGCTCGAGCAGAGTGTCACTGGATGGGAGAATGGAAAAGCACCAGCCATCTAGAACAGATTTTCAGTGAAAGCTGAAGAAAGAACCAAGTATGAAGACTTTGAAACTGGTTGGTGCAAACATTCTACATCAGAAAACATCTGATGGTTTAGAGTGGCAGGAGATTCTTTGGAAAGCTGGGGTTTGCGTTAGAACATGAGGCAGCTCTGTCATGATTTTTCTGTCATATAACAGAAGTTTTTCTCTGTCCTTCTGTCAGAATGCCAGGTGATGTGTCACCCAAAATGCTCAACTTGCTTGCCAGCTACTTGTGGACTGCCAGCAGAATATGCCACGCACTTCTCTGAAGCATTCTGCCGGGATAAAATGAATTCTCCTGGTCTGCAGCTGAAGGAGCCAAGCAGCAGTCTACGGCTTGAAGGATGGATGAAGGTGCCAAGGTATAAACATGACTCTTGGTGCCGTATCAGGTGCTGAAATATTTGGAACTGTTCCTTGTATCATCCTGGCTCTTACAATGGGATAATCAGTACCTGCTCGCAATTACTTACTACCACTGAAATTTGTCTTTCTAGGAGTTGCATGCTTGTTTTATCTGGGCAGAAAATCCAATGTAACTTTGTGCTTATTTTCTGTAGGAATAATAAACGTGGGCAGCAGGGCTGGGACAGGAAGTATATTGTCCTGGAAGGAACAAAAGTGCTCATTTATGATGCAGAAGCAAGAGAAGGTAACTTGGCATTTCTAGGAAGAACTTGTGTTTTAATCTTCAGCTACTGTTTGGTGAGCTGAGAGGCTTAAAGGTTGTTCCTGCTTGCTGTGGCTGTATTAATTTAGCTAAATTTTCTGTAACAAGGCAGTGTTGTTTTTCTAGATCCTTAACAGGTTTATCAGCTGGTGTGGCTTAATAATCCAGCTGTGAACATGCAGCGTGTTTTCTGTAAACTTCCAATGTGTATCCACTTCAGTTTGCTATCACACTTGTTTTCTTGCTGCTTACTTGTTCATTCTTTCTTCATCTGTGTCCCCATTCTCTCTGCAGCTGGACAGAGGCCTCTGGAGGAATTTGAGCTCTGCCTTCCTGACGGCGATGTAACTGTGCACGGAGCTGTAGGAGCTACTGAACTAACCAACACTGCAAAGACAGGTGAGAATCTGACGTAGATGAGGTCAAATGGATTTCATCTGGCTTGCCATCAGTTGGCATTCTGTTTGACTGAACAGAATTGTCTCGCTTTAACTTCCATTCTGTAACTGTGCCATTTTGAGGTTACCTCTACTTGAATTAGGTGAATAGCTCAGTCGTCTAGATTTAGTTACACATGGGCTGTTGCTTCTGTCATGGTAGTTGAACTGTGAATAATATAATCATCAAGCCAAATGGAAGTAAATTTGAAGAGTTTTGTAACATACTCAAAAGCACTCGGTTGATTTAAATTCCTTCTCTCAATGCTCTCTCTCAAGTGTGAATTGTCATAATTCATACCACCATTGTGCTCGTACCAGAAAGTCATGAATTAGAAATACTGTGGGGTGTGTACAGTCTGTTGTTATGACAAAATGTTGATGTTTTCATTTGTATGTACTGAATAGAACCAATGATGAGTTTATGTATGTCTTGACTTTAACATTAAAGCATACAGACTGTTAAAAACAAAGGTTTCCATAACCAGATTTTTCTTGAACAGTACAGGGAAAACTTTAGTCAAGTGGCTGGTTTTGTGGGTGTTTTTCCTGCTGAAATGTCTTTCCCTTTTGAATAAAAGGTGAGAAGTTATTTTTATTTAGTAAAGACAGCACTGTATGTATGGATTGCAAACATCCAGCTGATATTTAGCTTTAAGTAGCTAGCCTATGCAGGACCTGTAAAGGAGAAACCTATGTATAAATTGCCATGGTAACACGTGATGATAAATACAACTTCTCTCCGATGAGGCTGAAAGGTGTTGATTTTAAGTCCACTGACAATATTCCAAAAACTAATCTAAGTCTTATTCTATCTATATAACATCTCAGATGTGCCATATATCCTAAAATTGGAGTCTCATCCACACACCACTTGCTGGCCTGGTAGAACACTCTACCTGTTAGCACCCAGCTTCCCTGACAAACAGCGCTGGGTCACAGCACTGGAATCAGTAGTGGCAGGTGGGAGAGTTTCCAGAGAAAAAGCTGAGGCTGATGCTGTGAGTATAAAAGTTTCATTTAATCATAAAATATTCTGGGAGGGAGCAGAGGTTTGAAAAGTGTTTTGTCGGTATTTGACATTCTGAGGTTTAACTGCAGGTAAGTTGTTACTTCTGCCTGACAAGGGGCAACAAGTACCAGGAACTAATTCGTTGTATGACTGATGCTTTATGCTGCATTACCCTGCTTCAGACTTGGAAGTGTAGTAAGAGGATCCCAAAATTAGATCTCTCTAATTCCAGCAAACAGAGAAAGAAGAGCGAGCAGTCAGGACATGGTTTAAATCCAGTCCCATAATGTACCACATGGAGTGAGCAAACATTAAACAAAAGGAAGCAAAATGCTCCCTCTCCCCTTCTTTCAGAGTCAGGGGGTTTGTTTCTTGAGGGAGGGAGGGGTGTGTGTGTGTGTGTTTAAGTTTTACTCCTGGTAAGAAGAAGCGGTTAAGTGGATTTATTTTGGTTTTGAATAGCCTTTTTCATCATTGTTGCGCTGATTACTCTCTGTTTTCTGATAAAAGGAGATTTGGTTCTATGGCATTGCATATGAGCATGTTAGCCCTAGGGAAGGGAGTGTCTGACTAGCAGGAAATCGTCTCTTTTCTCATGCTAGCGTTCCTTTTGTCTCCGAGAAGAATACATGCTCCCTCCAGCATTTGGACTTCTTTGTTAATTCTTCCCCTGGGAAGATTTTACTGCTCCAGTGCAAGAGACTGGGGAAAATGGAAAGGATAGGGACAGCAATCAGTTCTGTCTGAGGTTAAGTTCATTCTGATCAGTTTCCTAACCATGTTTCAGGCAGATAAAACTTTACTAATGCTTTTGTAGGAGGTTTCCCTGCAACATTTAGTGTTCTGAGAAAAAGACACCTGTGCCAAGCATTTTGCCTGTCTGAAATGATGTCCTTACAGTGTTAAAATGCTAGTAAAGACATCGAGATTAACTCCAGAAAAATACATCTCTTTTGTCATTTGCAGAAATTGCTGGGAAACTCCCTGCTGAAGCTGGAGGGTGAAGACCGTTTGGATATAAATTGCACAATGCCCTTCAGTGACCAGGTAATGCTAATGCTCAGCTGGGCCTTTCTGAGTATTGGCCATTTCATTCATGGAAATGGCAGCTTAACAGCAACACGTGCAATTACAAACCTGTTTGTCACTTTGTTTTTTCTCTTCACTGGTAAACAGGATTGTCCAGGCTTGCTCCTGGAGTGTTCCTTGTTATCCTCAAGTAGTGCTGTTTTTTTCCCCTGTTGTCACTGTAGGTAGTACTGGTGGGGGCAGAAGAAGGTCTCTATGCCCTAAATGTACTGAAGAATTCCTTAACGCACATCCCAGGAATGGGTGCTGTCTTCCAAATGCATCTCATCAAGGATCTGGAGAAGCTACTCATGATAGCAGGTAGGGGGCTTTACCTTACCATCTGTCCTGCCGTTAACAGATGGCAATGGCTTTGTACTGCAGTGCCAAAGGGCCCGGCTTTCCTTTGGATGCAGTACATGCTTTATTGCTGTTTTTATCAGTGTATTGTCAGGAATCACATCCTGTGGTTAACACAGCATTGTCTGGGGCTTTCTTGAAGTAAATGAAGATGTAAATGAAGGCTCAGTTAAACCTTCAAGAGAAAGTGAATTCTCAGTTTCTAAAGCAGAGGGAGGGAAGAGCCAGAGAAGACATTTTCTGTCATCATTTTTAGTTCAGTTTAAGAAGTGTCGAGTTGATCAGTGAGTGTATCTTCCTAATCACTACAGAGCCTTTAATGTAGTTAATCATTTGAGGACCAGGATGTGATAACCATGGCCTAGGGCCAACAACTGTTAACGTGCTCTAAACACTAATTCCTGTAACGAAATTGGGACTTCTGTCATGGTTTAAGATTCCCTTACGAAAAGAACACCAGCTTTAATCTCTCCATCTGTGGTTTTCCAGAGATAATCCTTCCCACACTGATGTAGGCATGCTGAACGTTAGGGCGTATCTTCAGCTGAAAGCCCAAATTATCAAGTGTCTAAATGACATTTCTAGGGAATGAAAAACAAATTCTTTCTTTTGTTCTGCTTCTCCTGTGTTTTTCCCCTTGTCAAGATTTAAGCTGTCCATGCTTTATTTGTTCCAGAGGAAAAAAGCAACTGGCAAAATGAATCTCTCACAAAGTTAGACGTTAATGTTGCTCTGTTGCTAAACTTTGGAGAGGAATTGGCCTTGGTCTATAATGCAGTTTATTAGGGCACTTGGAAATCCCTTGCTGGTTCTGGTGGCACAAAGAAGCCAAACCACCTTTTACTTCAAGTTCTGAAGGGTAAAATAGAACTTCCTGGGTAATTTTGAATAGTATCCTAATGAGGCCACTGCTACTGTCATCATCTTAACCTTAGCAACGCTGATAATCCACGGGGAGACTGGTTGTTCTCCCAGTGGATTTGCTGTCTGGTTTTGGAAGTTTTCTGTTTCACTTTTAACAGGAATAACATGGAATGAATTCTGCATGGTACATTGTGACTGTTACCACAGTAACAGCCTGTAACCATGAGCTGCTGCTTAGGTAATAGAACAGACTTTTGTAGAGAATAGGGAGTTTTCCTGTGATGAAATGTGGCCATTTTTGTTTTCAGGAGAAGAAAGGGCTCTGTGTCTTGTTGATGTGAAGAAAGTGAAGCAATCTCTAGCCCAGTCACACCTCCCAGCCCAGCCTGATATCTCACCAAATGTCTTCGAGACTGTCAAAGGATGTCACCTTTTTGCTGCTGGCAAGGTAAGGATACAGCTCTCTCCTGCCCCCAGACCACCCTTTACACTACACTGAGTTCAGTAGTAATCAAATCAGCAGCTTTATTTCACTGGCAACAAACCCAAGGTCTATATTCTTGTTTTAAGAACAGTGTAGGGGTTGAAAGAGAGGCTGAGCTGGTGGCAGTATAGATGATCTCCTACTAATACGAATAAATTCAGTCAGGAAGAAATGATGCTAGAGCCTCAACTGCTACATAATAAGAAATACAACACAGCATAGCATAGCATAGCTGCCTCCTCACAGTTGACTTCAATTTTGAGGTTTATAATTAGTGAATTCTGTCCACTGTTTGTTCTGGAACGTCTTGTAACACTTTCCAGGCTGCAAATTTACTTAGGGTTGGGTCACTTGAGAACTCCTTAAGATTTATATTAATGGACCATTTAGCCACAACAGAAATTCTCATTAACAATCACTTCTACAGACTGCTTCAATCACAAACTGAACATTGTTCCTTTCAAAGTGATATTTACATAACGGTTTCAAGGGTTAAAATTGAACCTGTTTGGATTTCTTACCCCTTTTAATGAGCCATTGTTCTGTGGAAACCCCTCCAATTTTTTATTAACTGAATCAGAGAAGCAGTTCAAATTCACATTCTTTTTTGAGAATGTGAAGAGGCTTTTCATTATTTCACTAATTCACAATAAGTACCCTATTAAAAACCTACCTGCTTATCTCTGCAAAGTTCTTTGTGGTGAAAGGTCCTCTCACATGCTCAGCATTAGAATTTACTCTATTAGCAACCTGAACTCTGCCTCTAATCTTCTCCACAGGTCGAGAACAGTCTTTGTATCTGCGCAGCCATGCCCAGTAAAGTGGTTGTTCTGAGATACAATGAGAGCTTGAGCAAGTTCTGTATCAGAAAGGTAAGCCTGGTAATTCCCTTAATAATGAGCTCACATAATTCATGTATTGCACTAAGACTTTGCTTTGGAACAAATGCCTTAAACCTTTTCGCATGCAGGAGAACATTTGGTTGCCAGCTAAAATGATAACAAATTGCCACGTGCACTGACTAAAATTGGAGTAGGCAGCAGTTTCCTTTAACAAGAGTTGGCATATTTGAAGAGATGCAGAACAGGGCTGTGATTTGTTGAAATACTGACTTGGCTGTAGTCATACCCTCGCTTAGTTACCCAAAGAAAGGCTTTCTTCTTCATTGCCCAGCTGTGTTCCCTCACCTCTGTTGTCTTTGGAGAAGTCCATAACAACTGACTTCTCCCTTCTTTCCCGCTAAGGCAGCAGTGGCTATCTGAATTTGTTTACTATACTAGTGAAAATCAAAGGGTATTTATTTGGTACTATCCCATCACAGGGTAGGCAGCTCTTTCCCATACTTACCCTGATACATGGGTACCTTCTGGCCAGCAGAGGCAGTGAGATACAGATCTCACGTGGCTGTATACACAGGTCTCCTGTACAGAACCCTGTCTGCCTCCAGCACCGGCACTGCCCTGGGCTGGGAACATGTCTTGCTTCATTCTGTGGAAGCAGAACTACTGCAACTCTTTTCAGGCAGCCAGCTGCAGGCAGGTAATGCCCTGAGCACCAGAGCCACTATTCCTCTTAAAGGCAAGTCCAATCGATTCTCACGAGTAAATTTTATATGCTCAAACACATCCAGAAAAACACCCCAAATAACAGGGATCTCTCCTCAGAACAGAGTTTAAACACTGCCCATCTTAAAACGGGCTGGTACCCAGAAACTCATGTCCTCTCCAGTTCACAAATTCAGGAATGTTCAGGTCAAACTACAGCTCCCTGTGAGCTTCTGCAGGTTACTTTGAAGGCACTGGTTCAATTTACAGCTTGACTGAGGATTTATCCCCACTGAGTGCTACACTGGCACTGCTGTGATGAAGCAGAGCCGGGGCGGTAACTCAGATGCTGGCCTCCTTGGAAGTAAAGACATTATTTGATGGAGATCTTGGCACAAACAGTGTGGATACCAGCAAACCTGGGTAGCTGCAAGCACTGTTGCTGATACCAACTCTTGCTCACAGTGGAGCAGCAGCCAGCAGGAAGGACTGTCCTCTGCTTGTGCTGCCACTCACCCCACAGTGCTGAGTGCCTTGACAAGGGCTTACATGCAAAACATGCAATGGCCTGTTTTAGAAGGAAGGTTGTCCTTATCCTTACTAAACCAGACAACTGAATTTAGATCCTGACAAGATGGCAGCAAGCCCAGAATATGCTCTTCCGTTCTGCCAACTAAACTGCCAGATAAACTAGGAATTATGCAAGGAATCTTGTCCTCAGAAGATCAGGGGATCTGTGTGTTGCGTCAGGCTAACTTGCAGAGCTCTCAAAGCTGTTCAGTCACACTGCAGATGTTGGTGGACAGCATCTCTGTGTGTTACACTGCACAAAGAAGGAAGGAAGATTGTGTATGTATGTTTGTCTTCCTTTTGCTTATGGGGCCATCAAGCTTGTTTCTGCAGTGTTAAAAGCAGGGATGCTTTAGGGAGCTGATTCTTTCTGCTGGGAGGACAGGATGTGCATACTGACAAGGGTTTTGCTCCTGGGGTTATAAAGACTTTGGGACTTGACTGGTGTCAGGCCTGCTGCAGTTGTCTGAGGATCTTCTGCCTGCCTTTCCAGCAGCTGTCTTGATTCCTGTTGACTTCCAGGCCTGGAAGCAGTCATTCCAGCAGAGCTACTCTGGAGCTGGGGCAGTTTTGGGTGATGGACTTCCTAGTGACAAGTCAAGTCTGTCATTCAACCCTAACTGCTCAGTCCTGGCCTTGTGTCACCTCCAGACACTGTTCAGCCATGCAGTCATCGGCATGGCTGTGACCTGCTGTAAGGAGGGAGCCGTTCCCCACTGCTCCAGAAAATTGAGTAGGGTATTCTTCCAAAAGGAAGAGCTTCCTGTTAGGGTTAGCATCTGGGACTGAGCTGATTGATAGGCAAGTCTGTATTCAAGCAAGTTTCACTTCCAACATAACAAACCTCTTCTAGCGAGGGTACCTTTCCAGGTGCTTTTGAGACTGTTTGTTGGTGACTCTGAGGTTGTCATCTCTCCCTTTCATAAAGACAAATGTGGCAATATCTAATCTTCCAGAAAAGGCAAAATTACAAAACTGTTACTGGGAGCTGATCCCTGTCCATACTTTCTGCTTTTCCAGGAGATCGAAACCTCTGAGCCTTGCAGCTGCATCCATTTGACCACTTACAGCATCATCATTGGAACCAACAAATTCTATGAAATCGAGATGAAGCAGTACACTCTGGAGGGTAGGAGCTGTGTCCTGAGGAAGGCACCAGCTGGCTCCACAGATTCTTTCAGTGGGGCTCTTCTAAACCAGTTTAAGAAGAAAATATTGGTGCCAATCAGGGTGTTTTTCTCCATTTTCTTTGCAGAGTTTCTGGATAAAAATGACCACACTTTGGCCTCTGCTGTGTTTGCTGCCTCTACCAACAGTTTTCCAGTCAGTATCATCCAAGTGAACCCAACGGGGCAGAGGGAGGAATATCTGCTGTGTTTCCACGGTATGTGTTGTCTGGTTGTGTAGTTGTTGCACTGCATCTGCTTTCTGGTACATGAACAGCCAGGAGGTTCTGGGGTACTGTTGTGAAAGCAAGCCAGAGTTGACTTCCTAGTGCCTGGTAATGATTATTTGCTGTGACTCCAAAAGCCCTGGAGGAGTTGGGGCTTAAGCAGTAAGAAAGACACACACCAGGCATTGATGCTGAAATAGACCTGCTGAGGTGCTGTCAGTCACCTTGCATCTGTCTTAAAGGTTCTCTGTGCCTGTGGATCAGTTGCCATGTGCTGGCTTCTGTGCCTGAATGGAAGGGATTAAACTCAGTGTTAGGCGCTACCAGGTGTTTGATTATCCTCATGAAATGTTAAGGGGTTCTCAGCCTTTGCCTTTCTCCTCTGCTTTCCATACAGAGACAAGACCTTTTAACCTTCTGGTGAGGAAATAAAGAGGCTGTTTGTTACTTTTTTGTACAGCTGCTTTTGTTGGCTCTCTAGGGTAGTGGCAAGCGCGGGTTTGTTCCCTTTGTCCCTTTCAGCAATAAAGGAGCACAGCTCAGGTGTGCTCACAACGTGGCATTGCTTTTCTTGGCAGAATTTGGTGTCTTTGTGGATTCCTATGGAAGACGCAGTAGGACAGACGACCTGAAATGGAATCGCTTGCCCTTAGCTTTTGGTAGGTGTTGAGGGAAATCCTCTTGGCTTATGGAAATCATTGAACCTGGGAAGCATCTTTGTGGGACAGGTATTCCTCACTCAGCACTTCCTCTTCCCTCTCCTAATCCTGCCAGAAACTGGAGATTTTCCCACAATTTAAGATCATTATAAATACAAATTGACAGACCTACTGAAGCAGAAACAGGTTGAGGAAAACTAAGGTGAAGTTATGTTTCCTTAATGTTCCCTGTCTTACAGTGGCTGAACCAGCTAATGGGGTTTGTAACAGTGCTTGGAAGTTTCTGAAACAGTCAGGATTTTGGAATGTCAGCCTGGTTCCCTCAGCCCTTTTGCACTACTGAGTGGGATGGTATTCAGTGAATAGTCTGCTTTTAATGCCTGTTCATGAGTCTTTGGTTGGTAGAATTCTTGAGATATGGATAGTTTCAAAGCAACAATTCTCTTTCATCTCCCTGCTTAGTCATCACATTGGGTCTTATTACAGCAAATCTACTCCCTGGGTTTCCCCAGGGCTGGGAGCGCTGCTGTGCTCACTGATGCTTTTGAGAAGGTTTTATTTAATAGAGAAATTGATTTTGTCTTTTCCCTGCCTTTGTGATGCTCCTCCAGCCTACAGGGAGCCCTATCTCTTTGTGACCCACTTCAATTCCCTTGAAGTGATTGAGATCCAGGCACGAGCTTCTCTAGGGTAAGTTGTTCTCTCTTCATTACTTTGACCAGTATGTGCTGCAAGAAGACACAACGTGCCAGGGAAAGGCACCGTGCTGTCATTGTTAATGCCTTTTCCTGCCCTTTCACCCAGAACTCCTGCACGAGCCCACTTGGAGATCCCAAATCCGCGGTATCTTGGGCCTGCAATTTCATCTGGAGCCATCTACTTGGCCTCCTCCTACCAAGACAAATTAAGGGTGATTTGCTGTAAGGGCAATCTAGTGAAGGAGACCAACAACGAGCAGCATCACAGAGGATCTTCTGCTACACGCAGGTACGGTAGTCAGTGTGTCCCTGTGCGCGCACGAGCAGCCTCAGCTCCAGGTGGCTGTTTCCCCTGGATGCTGTGGAATGCCCACATTCCATTCCTAGAGAGAGGGGTTGGTACTGGGCAGTCACTGTAATGCTGGCATAGAACAAGGAGGGAGTCACTGATGTTTTTAAATACAGAAGGCAAAGAAACATCAGCTCTGTAGGAGCATGTGGGTAACCTCCACAAACACTCCGTGATCTTCAGCTGATTTATGTTGGGATATAGCTGTGACCTTAGAGCTTGGTGAGCTTAGATGCTATCAATATGATGCAAAACATCGATTGACTGCAAGTCTCTAAAGCTACAGCTTCTTAAACAACTTAGGGAGACAGCGCTGGGAAGTGGTGATGTGATCTTGTTCTGGTCAGCATTATAATACTTCTGGGGTTGATGGTGCCACTGCGCACTGGAAACTGCGAAACTGCGGCCTGTAGCTCATCCTAACCCGGCCTGAACATCCTGGAGCCACTGATAATTTTGTATGGGGAAAAAACACGTGAAATTTTAGTGCATGTGGAAGACGATGCTGCTGAAGTGTATGAGAGCACGGAGCTCTCTGGCCATTCACACAGACGTGACTCACACCAGCAAGTCCCTGAGGCCCCTGCCCCGTGCGGCCGGTGTGACAGATGCTCAGCTACCAAAGTCCGTGCGCTTTTCGCCTTGGCTGAGGGAGGTCTGATGGTTTCACCTGAACACTGCTGGGTGTTTGGGGGGAAAGCTACAGCTCTGCTAAAAGAAAATGTAACGTGAGGTTTTTGTTGCTCAGCGGGTCGCGTCAATTATTTTTGAATGACAGCAGCCCGAACAAGAGGGGCCCTCCCACCTACAACGAGCACATAACCAAGCGGGTCGCGTCAAGCCCAGGACCACCGGAAGGTCTGAGCCACCCTCGAGAGCCAAGCACACCCCATCGGTACCGCGAGGGAAGGACGGAGCTGCGGAGGGACAAGTCACCTGGGCGGCCACTGGAGAGGGAGAAGTCCCCAGGCCGGCTCCTGAGCACCCGCAGAGAGAGGTCCCCAGGGAGACTGTTCGACGAGAGCAGCCGAGGACGGGTGCCTGTGAGTGGTGCCAGAACTCCTCTTGCTCAAGTCAATAAGGTGAGTCAGGAGCCCGCAGAGCTTTCCTGTTGCCAGGAAAAGGCATGCGCTGCGGGAGGGCTGGTGAAGGACAAGAGCAAATCCAGATCTCATCCCCTGCCCCTCAACTACCATTAAAACAGCACATACAGTGTAATGCACTGCTCCTGTGAACACCTGCCCTCCTGCCAGGCCTGTAACTGCAAAAGCAGCTTCACTCTGGACCAGGCTGAAGTCCTTCAGATCTGAAAGCAAAGGGGCATCTACCAACAGAAATCATGATATAGAGGCTTTGAAGGGGAACAATGTCTGGAGCAGGGGAGGTGGGAGCCTGCTGTGTCCAGGGTGATGCTGACAGTACTTGGCTTTGCCAATGAACTGAGCTATGGCACCTAGATGGAGCCAGGTGCAGAGCCCTCGCGCTGCAGTGGCAGCAGTAATGAGGTGATGCGCTGCTGCTGACACCGGTGCCTGTGCGACAAGAGTACGTGCGACTCATCCACTGTCACTTTATTTCCCTGCCAGGTCTGGGACCAGTCTTCAGTGTAAGTCTCAACCAGACAGAGTTCCTCATCTTGACCTGCAGGAAAAAAAAGGAAATACACTGAGTATATGCACTCCATGTGTCTGCTGCCCAGGCACCAAAACAGCATCCCTGGGCCAAAGCTCGCGCCGCATCGGGAGACGTCCGCAGCTCAGTTAATTTCTCTGCACTTTCCTGCACTCCTGTTTTTGCACTTTGTACTACTGTTACTCTTTCAAGCAGTTCATGAACTTTTTGTATTCACTTTAGTCCCTGGTAGTTCATCAAGGAAATTCAGCGGGACTCGAGTCCCACCCCAGGTCTTTAATGTGGTCAGTGCCCCTTACAGATAATTGATCATAGTTCTGAGACACGCTGGGAATTCCTGATGGCCTGGAAACAGGCCGAGGCGAGTGAGTCCTTCAGTAGGAAGTGTCATTGGATGTCCCCTACAGAACAAATTACTTCCAATCAGTCTGTTCACCTGCCACTTCTGAAAGTTATTTTGTTCTCACTACAATCGCTCTAGAGCAGCTCTGATGGGGAGGGGAGAACCCCCGCGCCCGGCCCTCAGACAAAGTGCATTACCTATCTGCTACTGGGTTGTAAGACTTTATCCAGGTCTTCTGCATGACAGTTCACTGCATGCTGCTGCACCATCACTGGCTGCTCTCTCCTTTTAGGTTGCTTTGCTGAGTAGTGTATTGTACCTCACTTGTAAGTTAACTGAAACCTTTAGATTACGCTGCAAAATAACAGCCAATTACTCTGGAAATTTGGCACCGGAGCGTTACCAAGCCTTATTCTATGACAAGAGTTACAGGCACCCTGCTGTTCCCCTCCGCACTGCACGGGCTCCCCGCAGAAAGGCTGCTGCAGACCCGGCAGTCACAGGGTCCCTGCGGAGAGGAGCGTCCTCCCGTGACCTGTAACTTGTCGTACAATAAGAAAGACCCACGTGTCATGGCACAAGAGGATACTCACAGTGAGCAGCTTTGGCGCCTTTGCTTCTGCCTGTTGGACCTCGAGCCACGTGTTGCTTCCTATTCTCTTTTGCTGTGAACATGAAGCAGAGCGCAGATGATTTTCAAAGCAGGTTTTGACCATTCAGTCTGCACTAGCGACGTTCGAAGTGAACAACCACGTTCTTGACAACTGGAAAGAGCAAAACTGCATCCAATCTTCCCTTGGTGCCCCACTGATACTTCTGCTAGTCCCTCGCGAGCCTGTGCTAACCCGTTCTAGAAACCCATGAGAGAAGTCCAATGCCTTGTCCGTGTCCTTTGGCGAGTTTCCTGAATATCGTATCCCGTTCTCTTGTCTGTTGGGTTATTTTAGGTCAGATGATTTGGCAGGAGCCTTGCTGAAAGGTTTTGTCTCCTGGTCTGAATCTTTTGAAGGGTCAGAGATCAGTCTTTAAAATCTTTGCATCTCATGGAAGATCTTCGAGACCTCAGAAATGGGCTTGTTGAGTCCCGGCAGTGTATCTCTTGTGTCTTGTTCGTGACATGCTTCCTGCTATAGAAATAGCTCAAAGGACTGTACATATTTACAAGAATCTTTATATTCGTAACAAAAGGGAATTGAATTGGTTTCTACTTTTTTATTGTAAACTGTGTGTTTTTCAACACTAGCTTTTTGTTTTACCGGTGGTTGTGGACAGCCATCTTCAGACTGGAGGGGCCTCAGCTTAGTCCTCCTCGCTCCCATGAAGAACTATTGTAACATTAACTTGCAATTGAAGCTTGTTAGCATAAATGAGGTTTTAGGTCTCTAAAAGTACAGGATTTTTCTGCATTACCTTTTTATTATGGACAAGGGAGGGAACCAGAGGGACAGTTCAAAGCTCCACCTGGAACGTGTTGAACTTTGTTGTTGAACGATAACCAAATAAAACAAATAACTATCTCGACTGGCATGGTGAAATGACCGCTTCCTTCTCCGCAGTGACACTGCCCTCGTCCCGCTGCCCCAGCGCCAGAGGCTGTGTAATCTATAGGCGTCAGCGCTTACCAAAGAGCTCACCTGATGGTAGTTAGCATTGAGTAGTTGTAATTCCCTGACCAAGTAGCGTTAAGTGGCTTCACAAACACAAAGCATGTTCATAGGAACTCAGAACAAGGTGCATTTGACCACGTAGTTCACTAGAGCAGCAGTCGGCTGCGGACACCTACAGCTAAACCCTGCCCTCGCCCACTGAACTCCTGATAGGGGTAGAGTTAAGAACCCTGTGAGTATCTGGGACAACAATCCCGCCCTCCTCAATGACCCACACACCTTGAGCTGGAACAAACCATCTTACTGAACCATAGTGTGATCTAAAGACAGGTTTGGGATTTATCCCAGCAGTGTACTGGTAGCAAAGCGGCCGGAGACAGCTCCTCATCCCACCGCTGTGATTCGCTGGTGCTTTAAGGCCTAAGAGCTGCAACTTCAAAACCATTCACAAATCAAGTCAGATTGAGTACAACCTGCAGTTACTGTACATCTGAACTTAGACCTGCTGGGAAAACTCGCTAGATCAGACTTCAATGTAAATACAGCTATTTTTAACTGAACCAGTTTTTACAGGGTCTGAAGTATTCTTTCACAGGAAGAGGTTTTTAATATTCACACTGCTGCCTCCAGTAACTTCATTTGTCCTCCTACCATTCGTGGCTTTGGCTCTGTGCACACAACCACCCCTTGCCCCAGGGAAGGGCTGTTGGAGGGCCTGGGGGGCGGGTTACTAACACCACCTCTTACATTCTGGTCTACATTACATCCTTCATAACAATGCTCTACATAAAACCCAAGCTGCTTGAGTTATCTATTGTGCCTACTATCTGATGTATACGATGCAATGCTGACTTGTTCAATGTTCCTTTATTTTACTGTGCACAAAGAATACTTATTTAAAGCTCATTGTTGCAGTCCTATGATGCATGATCCGAATTGTAACACAACTAAAATAATCCAGAAACTGGTGGAGTAAAACCAAATCATTTATTGAGCCTTTTGATTACCAAGAACCCTGCACAAATCCCTGTCAGCCTGACCACTGCACCTCAGGGGGCCGGGGCGGGCAGGGAGCTCCCAAATTGCTTTAATTGCTCCCAAAGCAATTAAAGTCTCTGCATCTACCTTAAAACTGTGCTCTCCTAGCAACAGCCAGGAATAACCTCAACACCACACACTGCGGGCTGAGGGCGGGGAATGGAAGCATCCAGCTCCTGATCCAGCTTTTGCCTTCGGAGGGATTCGATTCATCCCTGTTCAGCGAGGACACACAATGTGATTGATCTGATGCAGAAATCAACCCAGCAAATAAATAAGACAAGACATTCCCTCCCCGCCATCCCTCCCAAACCAACCCCACAGTGAAAACCAGATCCCCCCCCAGCCATGGGCCAAGGGGGCTCTGCCATACCTGGAGGAGGGGGTGGCTCCTGGAAAGGTCAGTTGAGGCCTCAGGGATCAGCCTGTGGGCAGCTGCTCTCCCTCATCCCAACAAGCAGGGATTGGTAGTGGATCACGAGGCCTCAAACGCTGTGCGGGGCCCAGGCCCTCACCCTGGTTCCTGGGCGCAGCCTTTGGGGTGCCAGAGCGTGGTCCAAGTGCTCAGCACTGAGCCCGGCTCCAGGCTGCACAGTGAATAAACAGCAAATGCTGGCTATAAAGTAATTGGTTGTGTCCATGTTCCACCATGCCAGGGCAGTGAGCCCTGCATATATGGGACTGGGAACAAACCCACAAAGCTCAGCAAGAACTAATGAGGCCGAGTCCATAAATCCCGCTCCATCTCGCATACTGCCCCTTCATTTCTCAAAGTTCCAGCTTCTTCAGTCTTTGACACATGGAATACCCGGTTTGCAACTAAACCAAACCACCACAGCCAAAGAAACCAACCAGCCTCGTTAGGGTGCCTCTGAGCTCCTCTTTTCTCCTAGTGAAAAGATTAATTCTAGGTCATTCCAGTAAGAAACCTGTGGTGCCATTTCCCTGCTGGCACTAAAAGCACCCAGGACTCACCCCACCACCCGTGTGCAATATACCATCCATCTACATTGCTTTGAACACAGCTGAGACAGATTCCTTCCAACACCTGCCTCTCCTCATCCCACCCCACACACCCTCACCCTTGCTTCCACAGCATTTAACCTGTGCTTGGCCCCATGTGGAGCTCTGGGCCCACGATGTCTGCCCAAGCACACCCAGCCTTGGCTGTGGCAGCAGACACGAGGGTTCACTTGCTGCCACTCATGGTCAGCTCGGTGACAGCCCAGCACCGCTTTTACTACGCCAACAGCAAGGCCTATCACAGGAGCCCCCCCCATGCTGAGCTACAAGACACGGGGCACCAGCACACCTTTGCTGATGGCACTGCGGAAGGAGAGGCCAGTATTTGACAACAGCATCACCAGGCAGGCAACGACTGTGCTCACACAGCACCCACCTCTGCATTCACCCCTCTCGGTGCTCCCATTTCAGCACGAGGCACTCCCACCATTACATTCGTTAACTGGAGCTGCTCAAACCTGCTCTCCCTGATGCAGCTTCCTCTACTGCCCTGACACAACCAGCTCAAGCACAAAGGAACCTCAAGTGCCTCCTGCACAAGGCGCTGCTGGCAAATGACAGCCCCAGCCTCACCGGTGCAAATAAACACTACAGCAGCACCACAGCCCACAGCCAGCATCCAACCTACACCTGGCAATAAAAGGCCTGCGTGAAGGGTGGATGGAACAAAGAAACTGCCAGGAGGCTGCAGGCCAACTCTGATGGCTGAAGCTTTGCCCTTCCTGTCAACTTTACCTTCCCCTTCTCCTTTACTAATTAACTGCAAACTGACAAAGTGCTTTAAGCTGCATCTAGGAATGAGAAGCTTGCACAACCCACCAAGGCACAGGACTGCAAACACAGGTCCTAAAGAAACAACAGCTCACGGAAGCTGGGATAATAACCAAGCAAGTCACCCACTTTCCTTGGAAATGTTTTATTTGTTTCTAAAGAGGCTGAAAACAGAAGCGATTCCGTGGTCCAGAATACCAACACTACCCACAGCACAGAATGGAGACAGCTTTCAGAGAAAACCATTGCACTAAGACCCAGATCTACTCGGCTCCTGGAGCTACTGCAGCAGGGGGGCAAAGCACCCCTGCACCATGGCTGGTTCTGCAGAACACTGGCAGCTGCAGTCTCTGTCCCTGCTCAGACTCCTGACTGGTCTGTGCAATGGGCTCTGCCCACCAAGGGACGGGACGGGATGGGGCTGGTCAGGGTTGGCACAGTCACTGGCACAGTCACTGGCACCCTCAGGCACCAAAACCAAAGAGAGGGAAGGACGAGGCAGGTCGCTGCTGGAGCAGGCTGCTCCAGGGCAGGCCCGAGGCACACCGGTGTGCAGTTTTGCATTGGTGTTGCATGTGTTTTGGGATACAGCAGGCTGCCGGTACCCAGTACAGGCAGCCCGGTGTCACTAGCATCATTTAGAAACCAGAAACAGGACTAAAAGCTGCAGGGCTGTGGAAGCAGCAGGGGGGTTATACCTGTGGTCGTGCTGCAACCTGGAGCAGGGGCCCTGCTTCCCCCCTGGGCACAGACGGGCACGGTGCTGCCGTACCTGGCACTGCAACTGCTTACACTGAGGGCCAAGCTTGGGCAGTGGGCACAGGTGACTCTTGCAGTCACCTTCAGGCTCTTTCTGAAGAGCTAATCCCTAAACTGAACACACTGATTTCCTCACAGCTTAAGGAAGTCCTCACTAGTGACAGCAAGGGAAACTGGTTTCAAAAAGCAGATTACTGCAATTACAAACACATTTATGATTTACAGAAAAATCCAGCCATTAAAAACAACTGTCTTTACCAGAAATTCCACAGGGGAAAAGCTGTACTTCAGTTCTCATGAAGAGAAAAACTACAGAGCTCAG